GCTGCTATACTGCCACCAAGCATATGGACCACAAACACATTGATCTTGAACTTGATTGTGGGTCATGAAATGTATGAAACCATTTGATTGGCCAAACTTGAGAATCTAGGATATCCAATGACAGCAAATAGATTTCTGCAAGTCAAACATTTTGATGTCATAATAAACGACTTAATTATGTTCAACAACTCATTCTCAATAGCCTACGATGAGGAAACACTTTGTTGGAAGTCTACAAGACTCAGTTAATGAAGGCGATTCACAAGGAATGACTTTGGCCAATGCATTTTATGCATTGTTCACAAATCTTTAGGCTGGCATACTACAGGATCCAAATCACTAGCAATTATGCATTACGATCACAAATACTACTTCACTGATTCACATTAATGTGGTCTGAAAGGTCCACTGGCAGGCAAAGGCAGAGCATGCATTATTGAGTGTGACACAATTGAAGCACTTGAACGAATCTGCAGACGATCCACAGGATCAAGAAATGTTCAATTCACCATCAACTTCATAGATGTTCATCACAAAAATGACATTATCCGTCCAGGAATGGCAGGAGAAGAATATTCATCACCACATCCGCGACAACCAATGCAAGAAACGATGACAGCACAAGTTGAATCGATGCCTGTAGAAACATCAGTCATGGCTTCGATAGAGTGTAATCAGCCAAATATGGAGGATGAATACGAAGTCCCTGATCATCCTCACCAAATAAGGCGTAAAACAACGAACAACATTGTAAACGAAGCACATGAATTGAAAGCTGAGGAGTTTGCATGGATCTACTTCTTTCCAAAAGGAATCAATGGACTCAAAGAAGTAAGACCTGTGAGAATCACTCCATTAGACTACTTTCTATTCAGAATTCTGGGTAGTGATACACGATTTCAATGAAACGACTACCTCTTCTACGCATTATCAATGTTCGAGTATTATCGCATCCAATAAAACATCTCAGCTTGTGTAAAGAAGGACAAGATGGTATAGTAGAAGATCTTCACCGCTACCTTAAGAACCTTAGAGGATCAGCTGCATATTGGCAAACAGCGCTGAATGAATTGATCAGACAAATACGTTCAATAGGACCACTAACATACTTCGGGACATTCACTTGTAATGATTTGAATTGGCTTGATATGCGCAAGGCACTCTTAATAGCTGATGGCAGACCCCATGAAGATCCAAATGAACTAAACATATATGCCACACAACGATTGATCGAACAGTATCCTCTCATAGTCACACGACACTTCATGATTCGATTGAATGCACTTATTACTTTTGTAATGAGTGGTCTCTGACACGGTAAGTAACTTCGGTTGTTTATTCAATAAAAGCTCGGTAAAGCCACGTGTCTCTTCCTTTTTGTGGACGTCCGCCCTTCGTGTGGCTACGCTGCCCCGTGTCACGTGGCGCTGACCTCTCCAACGCACCTCTGGCTGACGGTGCGCTAGGGAGCGGCTGGGCGGCTGGAGGACGAGCCGCCACGTGGTTGATGGAGGTGGCAGGGCAGCAGCGATGGGGCTCCTCTTCAGTCTTCAGCACCGACCCCGTCCGTTGCTCTGTGTCCCGCTTGTATCCCCCTACCCGGGACTAAGCCCCGCCTCTGGCCACACCCCTCCTGGAACCTTCCCGAACGTTCCAGAGGCTTCCCTGGTGGAACCGCCTTTCACCTTTCCCCTAGATGTAAACCCGACTATGGATAAGCATGGACTGTGTAATTGATATATATGCCCCCCTGATAATCCAGGCGATGGCGCTCTCATTACACTTTCTTGAGAAATAATCACGAGGTCTTTAGTGGTCGATTGAAGGATTACTGGTGGCGAATCGAGTTCCAAAATCCTGGAAGTCCACATCTACATATGCTGGTGTGGATAGAAGATCTACCCCTCATTCAATACACATGAGGGAATCAATCAAATTGATAAAGTGTGCACAGCAAAAAAAACGGACGAGAGTTCTGAGCTATATGAGCTCGTGAAAAAGTGTCAAGTTCACCATCATACAAACATATGCAAGAAGAGTGATGAGGACTCATCAATAGCGTTCTGCTTCAAATTTCCACGACAAGTTTGTGATGAAACCTGCATCGTCTCTGAAACATCTGATGACTTCATTACCAATGGTGGTCGAATATGCTTACTGAAGCGAAGCAAAACAGACCGATGGATTAACAATTACAATCCTATGCTACTCAACCTCTGGAAAGGAAATATGGACATCCAGCCATGCGGATCAAATGACTCAATTGCGTACTACATTGCTAAGTACATTGCAAAATCAGGACCTACAGAGCTTTCCCCAGGAATCAGACAAGCAATACAGCAAATTCGACGTGAAGAAAATGATGTGTCCCGCAAACTGTTCAAGATCTGCATGCAAATAATGAAGGAGCGCCAGGTTTCAGCTAGTGAATGTGTTTTCCGATTATGTCATCTGAACCTTCGAGCGAGTTCAAAAAACTGTCTTCCTCAATACTCGGTAACCCGAGCAGTGACACAGAGAGTTGAGATTCAATTAACAAGGTCAGGCATCTGGATATTGCGCCAACATCTTTGAACGATACGAAAAGCATCCTTGCAATATCAAGATATGTGCTTGGTAGAGTTTGAAATGTTATTTGAATCACATTATGCTAAAGCACAAGACGATCTTCAAATTAATATCGATGAGGATGCATATGGAGAGGTACAGATCTCTGCAAGAGGAAGAGAGATGATCACGCTCACTAATAGAACAAAAATGCTCAAAAGAAATGTTACAGCAGTTGATAGAGTGCCATGCTTTGTGCTTGCAGCAGATCATGAAAACTACTATTAAAACCTTCTGGTTCAATACAAACCATAGAGAAGTGAACAAGAGCTATTGCAATGATTTGATACTGCAAAGGAAGCTTGTCTGGCAAATGAACAACAGCTAAAACAGATGAGTGACCATATGGAAGTGCATCGTGAAACGTGACAGACAACTGGAGAATGCATTCAATCAAGTTTATGCACTCAACATTCTCGAACAAGCTGTACCTGTTGAAATGGAAGACGAAGAAGAGGTGCCAGATGTGGCAATGGATGAAGAACAATTCCAATCGGCACGTAGAGCAATGAATGTAGGACAACAGGAAATGTTTAGAATGGTCACATAAACCATTAACAAGCAATTGCATGAAGACCCTGAGAGTGAAGACTCTCCTGAACGCTTAAGAGTCTTCATCACTGGTGGAGCTGGAGTGGGCAAAACATTCCTACTTAAATTGTTGCAAAATCAAATCAATCGTTGCTTTGCAAAGAAAGCTGTAGTTGTCTGTGCGTTAACTGGAGTCGCTGCACGCCTTATCGGTGGATCATCTATTCATTCCGCATTTAAATTGCCTGTTCAAAGAGATGGTTGAAGCGCTACCATGTCACCATTAACCGGACATTACTTAAAAACCTTGCGACTACAATTTAAGGACAATGAATGCGTAATAATCAATGAGATATCAATGGCCTCATATCAGATGCTATGCATGATTGATATGCGTCTTCGACGGCTGAAGAATAAGTATGATCAATTCTTCGGTGATATGAATGTCCTGCTCTTTGGCGATTTGATGCAGCTTCCTCCAGTTAGACCGAATAAGACCCTATCACTCCTAAATCTGATCAGTCAGAACATCTACAACCAGCCACTCATCTATGGTGATTATTCACACTGTGTGAGCTGAAAGAAATTATGCGACAGCAGGGTGATAATATGTTCATCAATGTATTGAATGCACTGCGAGTTGGAGATATGAGAGCTGAGCATTTCACAGTATTGGAAAGCAGACGTCTTCAAGAACCAATTGGAGAGTTTGCCATACATAAAGCTCTGCGGATCTATCCAACGAATAATCAAGTGAATGCTCATAATGAAGCAGTGCTTCAATACTTCAGAGATCTTAACACCCCTATGTGCACAATAACAGCACAAAATCAATTACTGGATGCCACGACAACTGTTGAAAATATCCAGATGAACACAATAATTCCATAGGTCATCAATAAGACTGGAAGCTTGCCACGTGAATGTATAATATTTATAGGAGCCAAAGTCATGTTAAGATCCAACATCGATGTCTCTAAAGGAATTGTAAATGGTGCAATTGGATATATCACAAAAATCACTTGGCCTATTCCTAGTCGTGCACAATTGCATGAAAGACAAATACCTTCACTAGTTGAATTCGACTTTGGCAAGGACGGCACACACGAAATTAAGCCTAAATCAGTTCAGTTCCCTGCTAATCGTGCCTATGGTACAGCTGAACGAAGAATGCTGCAACTAAATCTATCATGGGCATCGACAGTGCACAACATGCAAGGATGTACAGTGCATCATGTAGTCGTGTACTTGGGATCAAAGCTCGTCGAAGCAGGTCAGGCATATGTTGCCTTAAGTCGTGTTCGCTCGCTGGATGGACTTCAAATTGAAGATTTGGACAACCGACCATTGACCGGAAACACACCATGCAGTTTCAGTTCAGTTTCAGTTTCATTTATTAGGCATATAACCCTGGGAGCCATGCGGCTCTTGACTGGGGTGTAGAAGTTAATAGAATGAGAAACCATGAACCACATAAAAAAATGGATTTGCGTGACAACATCTTATACACACATATATGCTTGAGTACATTGCAAACAACATAAAGGCAATGTATAGAGTTAAGAACAGTGTTCCCGGATCGCACTATAAAATGTAAGGTCTACAAATAAGTAGACTGTCTTAGACTGAGTCTATTCTTTTAAAGTATTTTCAAAAAGTATGAAACAATATTCTTTGTCAAAAATTCATTGTTAAAATTAAGACTAAAAATTATAAAATAAACTCCTTAAAAAAAGTTTTTTTAAACACGGTTTTATTGTAAAGTGCACTCAAAAGTAAAAAATAAAAAATTTTCAGCCGTCACCAGCTGATCAGAATATTTTTGGATATTTGTTACTAAAATGTTTTACAGTGGGGTGCTCCTTTAATATCACTATTATCTTAATCGATGACCAACAATAGCTAAAGAAAGTTACCAACAAATGGTACTCAATAGCATAACAAAATACTATAACATTTCTAATAATATAGCGGGACTATCACTATTTGCTATTACCAATCTCATGATGCCACTTGGTTGAGATGGCTTGATGTCTTAGTAGCACGTTTGGAATAATCAAAACTATTCCATGCTAACATTCAAGTATTTAGGTTTCGAAGAGTTGGAACAAAGGATAATATTAAATGCTTTGTAGCGTTCAAACTAAAGTCTCACAATATGAAGGGAGTGGTATCTGATATCACTCGAAAAAGGTAAGGTGGCAGGTCCTAGGCAATGTAACATATGCGTCATATGGAACATCACGTATCAATAATAAAAAGCCTAGTATTATATTATAATACAAAGTTCACCATTCATCTGCAAATTTTGAGGAGCAAATTTTATTTATCAAAAGTTAAAACTTCACAGCATAAGTGATAAGTATTTGAAGCAATTGAAATGCACATGTCGACTTGATTATGATAGGAAAATTCAAAAATGCATTAACAATAGCTGTAATAATTACAATTACAAATACTTGACAAATACCTGCAAAATAATTAAAACGAAATCTACTATGCTTTTATTTCTTATCGGATAAGCAAACATAGATTTTATAATCTATATATATGAATTACATATACATGTCATTTATGTACTTATCTTCCCTTCGACGAATATACTCTGACCAAGAATGAAAGTTGCCATAGGAAGTTGAGAAAAAAATAATGGGTTTACCTATACTTTGCATAACTTTGCAGTAAACTCTTAATAAAAAGCAGTTCAACACAGATACGAGTAGAAAGATGTAGTAATACAGATTTAAGATTTATACTCAAAACACTTGTAAATGTTCTACACTTCACCGTCAAATGACATCATTATCAACAATTTTCCTTCTACTAAAATAATTGAAAATATTTTTGACATACATTCTATCACACAAATACACTTTTATCAAACTAAAACATTCTAAAGCAACTCATTATGCATACAAATATTAAAGGAGCGCCCCACGGTTTTATTTTTTTGTTACAAATGTCCAAAAATATTCTGATCAGCTGGTGACGGCTGAAAAAAAATATTTGTAACTTTTTATTGCACTTAAAAATAAAACCGTTGTTTTTAAAAACACTTTTTTAAAGGAGTTTATTATGTTGTTGCATTGAACGAGATCTGGTAAAGCCCGGCAACGATTGTTTAACAAGGCTGCATATGCTGATGAGACCCAGGAGGTCATTTCCCCAGGTGGAAGTGTCAGTGCCACCGGGAGATGTCATTGCTCGACAAGAACGCAATATCCACAGTGAAGACGTCACCTGCGGCACCTGCGCAAAGTTATGACGCGGGTATCTCACCGATGATGTCACCCTGCATCAGTAAAACTGGTCAAGCAACTCAATATCTCACTTGACGGACAGCACGAAGCATCGGCGGCCAGGTCTGTTTACTCTGCGTGTGTGTGCGTTGAGCGGTGGTGTAGTAGCGGTGAGCGCGCTGCACTACGAACCCCGCGTCCCGAGTTCGATTCCCGCTCATGGCCAAAACCAATGACGATTATCTGAACCGGTTCTGGGTCTCCCCTAGGTCGACTCGGCCTCAAATGAGTACCGAGTGCGGTGTGTAATACATCGCCACTGGGGAGAGAAAGTTCGGTCGGGCGTAGTGCTGGCCACCCACCCACCCCCTCGTGTGCCGTGCCGGCCTTCACGCGGTGCTCGCTACCAGCACTTGCCCCAAAAGTCGATGATGGCGAGAATAGGGGATCCTTGTGTATACCGGAGGTTTGTGCACTGCGTGTGTGTGTGCGTGCTGGGTGTCTCTGCACAATGGATGTACGTGCACTGTGTGTGTGTTTACATACTGGTTGTATATAAAGTAGGTCTGAACTAAGTGTGTGTTTGTGCCATTAATAAACGACCTTCATGGCTGTGAGCACACCCGGATACAGCTACGTGGCCTGGAGTCGGAGCCATTCCCTGTTCATCTTGGGGTGCAACAGGGATGTCCTCTGGCTCCTATATTATTGAACGGCTTCTTTGACCACGTATCGTATTTAGAGACGCTTTCCATGGTTGTATCAGAGGAATATCCACTTGCTATACATACAATGGGAGGCTAATCGATGCGCGGTTGCATGCTGATGATCTGATCAATTCCTCATCACTCCTGATGAGTTGGGGAGTACGCGGCTGAACCTGCACAAAAACACATCTGATCATATTTCGGAATCAGAATGTTGATACTGCAGGAGGAATCCGATGAGCTATAAAGCGGTTTTGTCACAGATGTCCAGTATAGGGACACAGGGTGAGAACGTGACAACAACAGCACAACAAACACGATAGTAGTGCAAAGTACAAGAAAGGTCAACAAATCACCCAACACACACACAGAAATACAACACTAAACTATCCCCATCCTGCCAGGCTAAGCCCACTGAGGTATTAAGTTGTTTTTTTCAGAAGCGACCTGGCCACAAATGATAGCTCAACAAAGTGTCTTATCATTTGGACATTTATAGCAGAATTTCACTGCAATATTTACATTTTCTATTCTACAGGGTGTTTTAAAAGATGGACCAGATTTCAAAGCAGTACTGCTTTGTATTTATAAAGCGCCTTTCACCAAGGCGCTTAACAATGCTTGCTGACTGCGGTACACTGTGGCAAGATAAGGGATGGGGATCGGGTAGTGACTAGGCTGGCGGGAGCGAGGTGGAGGCTGCGACGGTGAAGGCATTAAGGGCATTAGGTGGTGCTTGTCGGGGTCGAGCTAGATGAAAGAGACAGGACCCGAGGGCAGTGCGAAAAGAGGAGAGCGAGGGGTAAGACTCGGATGTGCAGAGGGAGTTTGTTCAAGTGTAAGGGTGCAAGCAGCGAGAAGGAAGCAAAAGCGAGACTGGGCGCAGGGTGCAGGAGGGACGGTGAGAAGATGGGCAGCTTGTGATGGGACAGATAAGGAAATGAGAGAAGACAGGGAAGGGGGGGCAGTCCATGCAAAGCTTTTAAAACTAAGGTGAGTAATTTAAAGAGACAGCGGTGATATAGATAGGAAGCCGGTGAAGTTGTTGAAGGAGAGGGTAGCAATGGGAGGTTAGGCGGTGCGTGCAGCCGAGTCTTGAATTTGTTGTTGAGAGGCGAGGGTGTTGGCAGGAGAGACCGACCAGGAGGGAGCTGCTGCCCGGACCAAGCTACGGTACTTGTACAGCAGAAGCGTGTGACGAGATCAGATGAGTTGATGATTGGTAAGTGCGTTATGGATACGATGCATGAAATGAAATATGGTGAAAGTGACAATGAGTGGGTTAATGATGAGCGAGTGCGATGATGAATGGGTAGGGGGGGGTTGGGAAAAGGGGGATGATGGCGAGTTAATGATGATGGACGGGAGGAAGGAAGGGAAGTGGAGTTTGGGGTAAGCGAGGGAAAAGAAGTAAGGGTGATTGGTTGACAGGTAGGGGCAGTTCCAGTTTAAGGTGGCCAGAAGCGAGCAAGAACGGAATGGTGATTTGGCACAAATGAGGCGGAGCGAGAGAGAGGCGGCTGGGATTGTGAATGAGAGGGTGGGAAGGAGCATAGGGATGACGATGAGCTAATATCCCCTTTAGGGCAGTGGTTCTTAACCTTTGCTGCAGCCTCGTATTTATGTGTCCATGCTTAATTTGTGTTTTCGATGATTTACCTTCAAAAATAAAATCTGGCCATGTCTCGCACCTCCATGAAAGGCATCTTGCACCCACAAGGGTGCGTGATGCACCCCAGGTTAAGAACCACCGTTTTACGGCAAGACCGTGGAAGATATTTGTAAACTAGAGGTGGGTATTTTGAAAAAGGCACCGATGGTAGACGGGAGTAGCCAGTGGAGCTGGCTGGACGAGAAGAGTCAATGTTTGCCAGTGGCAGAGGAGTTCTCGGACGAATCTAAGGTGAGATCTAAGATGAATCTAATGTGAGATCTAAGATGAGATCTAAGATGAATCTAAGATGAGATCTAAGATTAATCAAAGATGAGATCTAAGATTAATCTGGGCAGCGGCGTTTTGGATTTGTTGGGGGGTGGTTTAAGTTGCATCGGAGGGAAGACCAGGCATGAAGGGAGTTGCAGTGATGGAGTCGAGCGAAGACGAGGGAGTGAATTATTATAAACTAGCGGGAAGTACCCGGCGTTGCCCGGGTCTTAAAAATATTTCTAAACTACTCTTAAAAATGTAACAGCAGTGCGTACTGACTGGTGGTACCTGCTATGATTACAGCAGTGCATACTGTGGTGGTACCTGCTATGATTACAGCAGTGCATACCTACTGTGGTGGTACCTGCTATCTCTATAATAGTACATGCTGACTCTATAGCAGTATTTATCGACTGTATAGCACAAAGTACTCACCTGACAGAGTGGCGTGGTGAGGCCTAGTCTCGTGCAGAGTCTCCGGCTTCGCCTAGATTGTCCAGCCGGCAGGCTGGGTTTAGGCTGCTACCCCTGCCCCCCCGCAAACATGATCTCCCCGGCCGCTCTGCAGTAATATCTACGGTCTATAGTGGTAGCATCTAGCGACTGTATAGTAGTAATAACTGCACGCATTGGGGTGGGGGGGACATCACACAGTGAAGAATTTACCTGAGCGTTTAGTGTATTTTTATAGCATTTTTTATGCAAAAGATAATGTCCCCCTCACTCCTACCGAAGGCGTGCGACTTGGCATGGGCCGTTCCCACAAACCCTGCCACAATTTTTAACTTGTGTTTGTATATAAATAGATGTTGCGCTGCCGTTGTTGAGGTGAGGGGAATGGACTTTGTGAATGTTGTGCACGTGCAAGCGGCAGGCACGGGTAGTGGCAGATGCAGTGATATATGGTGAATCATCGATTATCCGGCAGCTTTGGAGGGGAGGGGGTGCCAGATTTTCAAAAAACTTCGGATCATCGCTCATCATGATCTAAAATAGATTATTTTTGCACATTCTTGTATGACATTACGTTTGGAAGTGTCGTTATGTTTCGTTGTTTTAAATGTGTTTACTATATGAAATTGGAAAAATAAACATACAAAAATAAATATCCTACTTTAAAAATTTATCGTATTTACTGCACCCATACTTATCACTCCAATCTCGAAGACTCTGCATGGGGTAATGCATATACACGTGCAAGTATATTTGCATTAATTTGTATATCGTATGTAAAATACTGTATGTAACATTTGACACTGAAATCAAGCGTGGCTACTTGTTTTTGTCACGCACGTGGTGCCGATAGCAGACTGGGCGCGGCCTTTGGAGCGGTTTTGCCAGTTTCGCCGGATCGGTCCCGGGACCGCCGGATAACGTTGGAAGCAGCCAGTAAACACTATGTAACACAATTTTTGTTCCTGAGTAGTGTTATTTCGTAATTGCTTATGCCTAAAGTATAGAAAATGGCTATTATTCCCCAAAAACTTTGCTTTTGTGAAGAGGACAGTGATATTTTGAAATTTACCTATTTTCATTGAGAATAAGGGCAAATTTGTGTCTTTTCATTTACAAGTCAGAAAAAACACATTAATCAAAATTAACATGTAGTTATACTAAAGTAATACAAAAATTACGACAAAAGATTTACAAGTTAATAGATTTTCGAGATTTACGATTATACTGTAAATCACTTTCACGAATCAGCCCCCAAATGTAGTCTCCCATTATGTTATCGTAATACTGTCCTTGTAGCGGCATTCAAAGTCCAGTACATTCTGGTGGAAGCACTCACCTTGCTCCTCCGAATATGCTCCCATGTTCTCCTTTAATTGATCAAGATGAGCATCAAGGATATGGACTTTGAGGGACATTCTACAGCCCATTGTGCCGTAGTTCTTCACCAGTCTCAACCAGCTCCACATAGTTTTCGACCTTGTGATTGCCCAGGAAGCCCCGAACTACTGCGACAAAGCTGTTCCAAGCCTTTTTCTCCTTACTAGTGAGCTTCTTGGGGAATTCATTGCACTCCAGGATCTTCTTTACCTGTTGTCCGAAGAAGACACCGGCTTTGACCTTTGCCTCAGACAACTTAGGGAAGAAGTCTTGAAGGTACTTGAAGGCTGCCGACTCCTTATCTACACCTCTGACATTGTTTCATAAGGCCCAATTTGATGTATAGTGGTGGCATCAGCACATTCCGGGGGTCCACCAGTGGCTCCCACTTGACGTTGTTCCTCCCCACAGAGAACTCGGTCCGCTGTGGCCAGTCTCACTTGTGGTAGTGCGCCTTGGTGTCCCTGCTGTCCCAAAGGCAAAGATAGCAGGGAAACTTGGTAAAACTGCCTTGGAGACCCGTCAGGAATGCCACCATTTTGATGTCTCCGATGACCTCCCAGCCGTACTCATCATACTTCAAGGTGTCCAGCAAGGTCTTGATGCTGTTGTAATCTTCTTTGAGGTGCACCGAATGAGCCAGGGGTAGAGACGGGTACTTGTTACCATTATGGAGCAGCATGGCTTTGAGGCTCCTGGATGCACTGTCAATGAAGAGGCACCACTCATTCTGGTTACAGGTGATTCTGATTGCCTCGAACAGACTGGTCACATTGTGGCAGAAGCAGAGCCCATCTTGACGGGTGAAGAAGCTGCAAAAAGGTTGGTGACACTTCCTCTCATCCAACAAGTTCCACTGCTTGAGCCTAGATGTCAAAAGCTCGGCATTGGACGTGGTGAGACCAAGATCTCTGATCAAGTCGTTGAGGTCTTTTTGGTTGGGGTAGTATGGGTTTCTCTCCTCAGCTCCACCTCTGAAATTATCATCTGGATCTACGTCTTCCTCACTCTCTGACGTGCTGCTCTCTTCTAAAGACGGCTGCTCTCTCTCTGGAGGAGTGGGTATGGGGAGCTCATGGCAGTGTGGCACCGGGGCGATGGATTAAGGAAGGTCCAGATACGTGATAGCAGGTGCATTTTTGGCAGTCCGACGTTTGGAAGGGTCCAACATGCAGAAGTAGCAGTTGCTTGAATGGTCAGTGGGTTCCCGCTAAATTCTTTGGATAGCGAACTTCATGGCTCTCTTTTCTCCTCTGTACCATCCTACAAAAATACATTTATTTGACCCATGACTAATGTGTAAGAGATTATCGCAACATTTTTCATGTATGATAAAACGTTTCAATTTAAAATTGTAAAACATTTTAAAATTAAAAACTTTTAAATGTTTTAAAATGTTAACACATTTTATAACCTAAACTTCCGAGCAACAATTGACCATCTTACCTTCCAGAGATTTTTTGCATTGCTCGCAGATGAAATGTGCTCAGGGTTTGTTTTGATCCCCGACAGGCATGACGAAAAATGCCGTGTAGGCCTCACACATCTTAGCAGATGATTCCACAGAGTACTTTTTCGCTCTTGTATTGATAAATTGGCCACAACAATAGGAAAATGCGTCTGCCAGATGCTTGAAGCCTCTTTATGCCATCTCAGAAAAATGCAGATATGTATCCACTTAGGCAGCTCGAACTAAACTGAACTGGTGGGCTTAAGACCCCTGTATTTATACTACTATTTATATTACTGGAAAGTTCTCGAATGTTCTAGAAGTTACTCCAAGTTTACTAAGCACTGAATCTATCTGGAATGTTCTGGAAAATAGGTACATTTCTAAATATCATTGTCCTGGTCACAAAAGCAAAGTTTGTGGAGAATAATAGCCATTATCTGTACTTTTGAGGCATAAGCAATTAGGAAATAACACTTACTACCAATCCTTACCCATCCTTACATGAGCACTGTACTTTGCGCAGTGTATAAACGTAGCCACAAGGGAGACAAAGACTGGTAGGTGTCGTGCTGACCCACCCACCCCCTCTAGCTGGCTTTAATAGGTGCTCGCTAACAGCTCTTGCCCCAACAGTCGGTTAAAGGCTACGCGAGGGAACTGAGCACTCGACCAACCATTATCCTGACCGTGACCTCTCTCTTTTCAGACACCTCATCCTCGCGCCACCTCCTCGTCCTTCACCGTCGCCCCAATGAACGACCTCAACAACCCGCAGCGCATGAACATCCAGGGCGATGATGCCGGCGGCGGTGGAGACAGCCGCTGGGGCTACGTGCTGGTCGTGCCCATGCTGTGCCTGGCCGTCTTCCGTCAGTGACTGACGCGCAACAGCGCTCAGGCACCACACACACGACCCCCCCCTCTCTCTCTGTGTGTGGCCAGCACTCTCATTGTTTTACAATACAGCTCGTGAGGCGATTATCGGGGTTAGCGTTTATATCTTTAGATTTTTTTTTTCAAAAGCAGAGATCGTCTGGGTTATGGCTTGTGTGCACTCCCAGGCTGAATGGAAATTGAGTAGTGGATTGTCTTGAGAATCAGAATACTGTATACTGGAGGAATCCGATGAGCTATAAAGCTTTTTTTCTCACATGTTATGTAGGGGTACAGAGTCAGAACGTTACAATAACAAACAATGCAAAAATACGATCAGAGTGCAAAGTGCAAAGTATAGGAAATGAGGTTCCCATAGTGTAGATGCTTGCCCCGAGCTCTCATACTCTAATAGTGCATTGTCTTTGAGTTGTGTGCCTTTTGGCGTCATCTGGTCCAACCCATGTGAGACTAGGCTCTAAGGAAAGCTGTCTCAGGTGTGGACCAATCAACTTCAAGGACAGTGCACATTATCAGAGTTATGTTCTTTTGTTTGTATTATGACTGCAGGTATTGCGGTCTATGCAAACATGACTCCTTGTAAAAAGGTGTCAGTTTTGTTGCCAGATAGAAGGGTAAAACACCAATTATCATATTTTTACTGGCAAATGAGGTTCCCATAGTGAAAGGTAAATCTCTTAAGAAAATATATTGAAATCAAACCGAACACTTTTTTCTTGCCAAGTAAAGCCCACTGATCTATTAGCTTCTTTCTCAGAAGCGACCTGGCCACAAATTATAGCTCAGCAAAGTGGCTTCTCATGTGGAAAGTTATAGCAGCAATAAAATAATTGAAATAATCGGCTGATGTCCAGTTCCGTGAGCTGTTGAGCGGCCTCGTCAACGTTGTGAGTTACAATCTAACCCAAAAAAACTTTTACGGATAATATTGCTCCCGAAAGCCAACTACTGCATGTTAACATCAACGTCGGGAGGCTCCTGGCTGGGGTGGGAGTGCCTAGAGAGAGGCCACCACCCAGTGTTGTCCAGGGGCTTGTCCACAGTGCTCAGTGTAGCCTGCCCAAGCCTGGTGGGTGATGGCAGATACGTCGCCGTTCGCAGTCGCCCCTAAGGTCTTCGAGGTCCCTTCAGCCCTTTCCTGCTGTAGGTGGCGAGGCCATAACTCGCACGATTGTCACATCCTGAGATCCGCTCGCCATCGTAAAGCTTGGCTCTGCCGAGGGGCGACGATGTCCCATGTAGGTGGTCATGTCCCGCTGAGGAAGTCGCATTGTCGTAGCACGGTAGTCCTTCAACGTTGAGTTGACAAACGGGCAAGGCCTGCCACGATTGGCTTCTTGTTATGTTTCTGGCCCTTAAAATGGTCGTTGTGTTCACATATATTAGCTACTTTTTTACACATAGCTGAATATCAACGATGCTGAAACCTGGTGGCCAAGGTGATGGTGTATTGGTATGACGTTAGTTAAGTTCACCACGGGCGAGTGCAATCATTGTCATCGGCAGCATGCCCATTCGTTATCTACCACCTCCGTAAATATTTTGCGTTGGTGGTCTCTCATCTTTAGGGGAGCAACCAAGCTACACAGGTCCATGCTCATCAGCAGTAGTCCCTTGAGACGATTGCCTGTTCAAGAGGAAACAACGAAATAAATATGCACGCAATATGTCTTCACATATCCGTCTTGCCACGTAATTTTTTTTTTCACAAACCATCGGCCGCACGGCCTTCCGAGAGTGCATAATTTAAGCAGCATTGTTTTGAGACAAGCACAGTCTGGACCGGTTACAACACCACAGTGTCTTGTCAACAGTTAGGCGTTGCTTGAATTGATCTGCGTCCGAGCGCTGAGCCTGCACCGCTGAGAAATCTGGGCATGAATCCAGGTATCAGTTGCCTTACCTGGTAAAATAAAAATAGTTTAAACTGGGCTCTCACCGATGACTGCACAAAAAAAATGTTGCGGTGGGCCCACACGCCCGTGTTGCTGTTTAACGCCTTCCGTGCGTTGTTGTGTGCGCTTACGCCTGCGCCATCCAGGCTCGATCTGGACGCGCAGGGCGAAGCAGAGTCGCCTGCATGACGCCTTGCTGGCGCAGGAGGAGTTCGCGCTGGCGGGGGCGCGCGCGTCTCTGCATGCGCTAGAGAGCGCCCTGGAGAAGCGCCAGTCCGTCTACTGCAACTGGCTGGTGCCGCGGCAGCGCCGGCGCGTCCTGGAGCGCGATATGCTGCGGCGCGCGCGCTCCGAGGTGGCGCTGGGCCGCATGGCGGTGCACGACGGCCTCCTCGACATATTCAACAACGACAGGCACTGCGCGCAGTTCACCAACGAGGACAGCAAGCGCAACGGCAAGCTCATGTGGGTGTACGTACAGCATTGGCACACGCTGCTGGAGCTGCACAAGTACCAGCAGGTGCAGCAGCGTCTGCACACGGAGGATCCGCTGGAGCCTCCGTCAGCGCGAGGAGGAAGAGTGTGATGGTGGTGGTGAAGAGGATGTTGTGGGTGTTGTCGCTAGAGAGCGCTGCAACGCGTTTTGGTTTCTGCCGCGTGTTGCTATGGCAAGATGGCCCCGACGTTTCGCTCGTTCCGGAACTACCGTAGGAGCTCCTGACGCGTGGCAGCGAAACGTTGGACGTCACGCCGTATAACGCGTGCGGTACAAATCCGAAAACGCATCGGCGATACGTTCAGCGAGGCTTTTAGCATTGGAATGGGCGATGACCGAAATATGATTGGACTGCAGTGTTGCTTTTGTTGTGGTGATCTCCTTTGCTTTTGGGGGTGGCGGTGCATGCTGTCTGGGTTACAATGTAATCATCCAACACTCTTTTTAGTTTTTGTGAATCTCATAAACCTCACAGACTCATTGTGGGGGGTAGCTACTAAGGGATGCAGGTCACCGTGTTCTCAGGGGGTATAAGATGCTCCAGAAAGTCAAACTTGCCCCATACTCGTTCCCGGTTTGGATACAGTCATATACATCACAAAGACAAAGATCCACCCTATAGCCTTACCAGACGGTTGGGGCAAGTGCTGTTAGCGAGCACCTATGAAGGCCGGAACGGCACACGAGGGGGTGGGTGGCCAGCACCATGCCCCGGCCGCCTTTGTCTCCCAAGTGGCGATGTTTACACACCGCACCAGGTACTCATTTAAAGCTGAGTCGACCTACAAGAGGCCTGGGACCAGTTCAAATAAGAGTGGATGGTGTTGCTCGGGAATTGAAGTCTGGTTGCCCGGTTTGTAGCGCAGCGCGCTAACCACTACACTAACCACATCACTACCGCTCTCCACTAACACTGACACACGTGGCTGTCAGAACATAAAATGCACCACCTACTGTTAGTTTAAAATACACGGGTAGCGGGGGGAGATGTGTATTGTAATCCGGAGAATACGGTAACAAACATTTTCGCGTTAAACCTAATCAGAGCTCACGTATTTTGCCGCAAGCAAGCGCTCGATTGCAATTGACTTTCAGTACATTTTTACATTGTAGACTAAAAAACTGAAATAAAATTTATAACGTTGGTGATCCATGACGTCAGTGGCGATGCATTGAAAATTGACAATCTGCTGATGCTGCTGTGCACGACGCATCGGTGAAAGGGCGGTCGTTAATCCGTGCTACCTCTTTTCCACTGGCACAACCAAAGCGAGCCGGGACTGTGCCAATCCTGCCCGGCACGGCTCGGCAAGTGCGGCGTTTGTGTCTTTGAACTGCGGAAGCCGAGCCGGGCCACGCCCCCGGCGTTGCGCGCAACGTGTGGATGCGGCGATGCCGAGTTAGAATCGTACTGATCGGTGTCATGGCGCACTGCGCGCGTCATTAGTCCCTGCCCCCTTTGGACCCGGCTTGGCCACCGAGCCACCATTTGGCTGTGGCTCGGCTCGGCAAATAGCCCAGAGAAACGCCACACTGCAGCCTTAAAAGGAAAAAATGTTTACCATGCGACATTTTGGGCAATGGCACCTTGTTAGTTCCCTCCACATTTAGAGTCAACACACGTTTCGTCTATTTACATTATTTTTGCAGCTATAAATGAACCTTATGGCGGGACCCTGGGGTCCCATAAGCCTCCGGCTCTCACGTAAACATTATTTTATAATGTAAACAAAAACTTTGCTCTTTTTCACCAATGGGTTTTAAGGATGATGGCAAGTGTTGTCTTGTTAAACTATACCATTAAAACTGAAAACTACTTACCTGCAGTACCTCTATTTAAATACACTTGAAAAAATAATTTACACCTCTGTCAATCATCGTGTTTCTCAGTGTGGATTTGTGAACACACTTTGTAAACAGTACATAAAATAGTACGCGCTTTCAATGCGCTGTTCATATTGTAACAAGCCTTTATACCAATGTTCCTCTACAGAGTAGTGGTCACAACTCCTCTTATCCGCATTGATACGAGCGTTACGTGGGAACTATGGCTTAACCGCAAAAAAAGTATCTGCACAGTTGCACAGTCAGTATGCACTGCTGTAGTGATACCAGGTGCCACCACAGTATGCACTGATGTAGTGGTAGCAGGTACCACCACAGTCAGTATGCACTGCTGTAGTGATAGCAGATAGCATTACAGTCAAAATGCACTGCTTTAGTGATAGCAGATACCACTACAGTCAGTATATACTACTGTAGTGATAGTAGATACTACTAAAGTCAGGATATACTAATGTAGTGATAGTAGGTACTTCTATCGAGTCTGCAGATACTATTATAGAGTCAGGATATAGTACTACAGTCAGTAAATACCACTATGGTCAGTAAATACTGCTACAGTCAGTAGATACGACTATACAGTCAGTAGATACTACTACGGTCAGTAGCTACTACTAAAGAGTCAGTAGATACTACTATAGTCAGTGGATACCACTATAGTCAGTAGTTACTACTATAGAGTCGGTAGATACTACTATAGTCAGTAGATAATACTACAGTCAGTAATATTATCTCCTACGTATATACTGCTGCGGACTCGGTTGATACGACTATAGAGTCAGTAGATACTGCTATAGTCAGGAGATACTGCTATAGAGTCTGCAGATACTACTATAGAGTCAGCAGATACTACTATGAAGTTAGTAGTTACTACTATAGTCAGTAGATACTAATATAGAGTCAATAGATACTACTATAGATTTAGTAGGTACTACTATAGTCATTAGATATTAGATACTACTACAGAGTCAGTAGTTACTACTATAGAGTCGGTATATATTACTATAGAGTCGGTAGATACTACAACTCAGTCGGTAGATACTACTATAGAGTGAGTAGATAATACTACAGTCAGTATATACTGCTGCAGAGTCCGTAGATACAACTATAGAGTCAGCAGATACTGCTATAGTCAGTAGATACTGTTATAGAGTTAGTAGTTACTACTCTAGTCAGTGGATACTACTATAGAGTCAACAGATATTACTATAAAGTTAGTAGTTACTACTATAGAGTCGGTAGATACTACTGTAGGGTCAGTAGCTACTACTACGGTCAGCAGTTACTACTACAGTCAGTAGATACTACTATACAGTCAGTAGCTACTACTGGGCTCCCCTCGCCTACGCTGCAGAAACTTCTTGCATGTGTCAGAAGGCAGCTCATACACTGCCTCCATTTCAGCATAAGCACCCTGAAGAGTAGTCTTCTTTGCAGCGGATATAGCCCTGAAAACAGTGAGAGCATCGTTGTCCAAAACCGTCGGCAAAGCTTTCAGCGCCTCCTCCTCGGACCAATTCACCGACCGGAAATGCCGCTTCAAAGCGCCAGGTGAAGGTGCTCCGATCACCCCCTGCCGCGATGAATTCTCTGACAGGAGGTAATCGGCGGGTTCGTTCGGTTCCTCTTTCCCCGTTTCCAGCAGCGGGCGTCGCTTCCGGCGAATCACGCCCGTCTTGTGAAATGGCAGCCTCCGGCCGCGCCTCTCCCGCGCATCGCGTAATGGTGGCCTCTGGCTGCATGTTCTCCGCGCCATGTTTAATGGTGGCCGTCGCTCCTGCAGACGTTCCCGCCAGAACGCCTATCCCCGGCGCCTGGTTGCTCCGCTTCGGCGAGGTCTGTGTAGTTTGCCCCACCATAGTAGTCGCCATCATGAGCGCCACCAACTGCGAGACCGTCGCCCGCAGGAGCTCAAGTTGCGCCGACACCATGCACCAGCCCTCTTTGGGCTGCTCCTACGGAGAGGCTGCTCCCGGTCCCACCGTCTCTGGCACAGCCAACTCCCCCACCGTGGTTTCAATAACCGGGACCGCGGTTCACGGGGCTGTTAGGAGGTCCTGCGTCCCTTTTTCATCGTCGTCAGAAGACGCCACAGGTGGGTTCTGCTTATTTTGGTACTTAGACATACTTCTTCACTGTTTAGTAAGAACATTTATTTTCAACCACTTCTGACTCCAAATGTAATGAGCGACTTCCAAGACACGTCGTGTAGAGGGCTTCTTATTTATTTCTCACACTGGGAACAACACTGGCTGATATATATACCTCTCGTCACACTGGGCATAACACTGGATAATATATATACGTCCTTACTTAGCTACGCACAGCCGACCTCTCTACACAGTCCCATCGTCGACATTCAACCACACAGCTGGCTGACTGGTGTGGTGATGACGACGATGGAGGCCGTGCAGAGGATCTGCCATGCGGGCCGGACGACAGAGAGATGACGGTGAGCAGCGACGCAGTCAGGAACCGGCATCCCGCAACAACCCTGAACCTTCGGTTCCATCCCCCTTATATACCTCTCGGCGCGGCCAGGCCCCGCCTCTGGCCACGCCGCCTTCCAGAACCTTCAAGCAGGCTCCCGGAGTTTCCCAACTAACCCCACCTTTTACCTTTAATCCAGATATGCCCCCCCTTCCGATTAGTTACCCTTCTGGGCCGACAGGTGGCACCCTGTCATTACACTACTAAAGAGTCAGTAGATACTACTATAGAGTAAATAGATACTACTATAGAGTCAGTAGATACTGCTATAATCAGCAGATACTGCTATAGAGTCTGCAGATACTACTATAGAGTCAGCACATACTAATATATAGTTAATACTATAGTCAGTGGATACCAGGGACGTGCAGTCAGGGGAGGCAGGGGAGGCACAGCCTCACCTGTCATACTCCAATGAAAATAGCTGTTACGAAAAGTAAAAAAAAAGAATAATCAAATCAAATAAATATTAAGATTTTTCCACTTATCTGTGTTATGTCATTTCTGTACGATACCAATCATTTTTATAGTCAAAATCGCCAAATTTGCGGAGCTCCGCTGCAAATACAGGAACAGACGAGAGGTGAGGCAGCGACGAAGTCAACCTCCCCTCTGATTGCGCAGCCCCTCAGTAACTGGATGGAGCGCGGGCAATAAGCGCGTGCCTGTTACTATCTCAGTATGTCACCAATGTAATGTTTGTAGACCCCTTCATTTCATGTCCTCGCCTTCCATACTCCAGGTAACTTATTACACGTATGTGTATACAGATATTTAGGCCCGCTGGTCTCGTCATAAAACTGCAATGAAAAAGCACCAGGAAAGACGTGTCTAGCATGCCCCCTCTGAGACCACACCCCCTCAGTGAGGCCACACCCCTCTCAGTGTGTGAATCTGGCTCTGACACTAGCCAGTGCCTCACCAGCCATTGACTACACCGCACATCACTGATGGTAACTACTATAGAGTCAATAGATACTATATAGTCAGTAGATACTACTACAGTATATACTGCTGTGGAGTCGGTAGATACGACTATAGAGTCAGTAGATACTACTACAGAGTCAGCAGATACTACTGTTGTGCAGTAGAACCACTTGGAGACGGGGAATGCTATAAGGGCTGTTCCCATTTATTAAACTTGCATTCAACTCTCTAACACCAGAGGTAGGTGCTCTCTATCTGGATCCTTTACCCCGGTTTCTCCCCAGTAGCTGGTCCTGCCTTCAGCTATCCTTTAGGGCTCTCTCGGGAACCCTCTCTCAGCCGATCCTTACTCCATACTTGGGACCCTGCTATCGGCTATTCCTTTAGCTCTCCCACTCGTCTACCCGGAGCGGGGGTTCATCCAACACCGCCCGGTGATGAGGAGGGAAAGACACCTTGCAGCCGATCCTTTCCCTGGCTCCCCACAACGACCATGCCTTCGTCCAGGGGTCCCCCTTAACTATCCCTTTGGCAACACCTCCCCCTGGCTCGGACCCGCCCTTGCTCCCGAAGGTACCTTTAACACCACCCGTGACATGATGTGATCCTTAACTGTCAACTCGCTCGCACCTCCCTCTGTTCACCCCCTCATGGTTGCTCATACTACTCCTCTACACTACTACAAAGTTAATAGTTTCTACTATAGCCAGTTGATACTACTTTACAGTCAATATATACGACTATAGATTCAGTAGATACTACTATCATGTAGAAGGGAAGTAATAAAATAATAAAAATAAAACATAATAAAACAATTCTCACGACGTTTCGGCCACAACGCAAGCAGCCGTCCTCAGGTGAAAACCAGGTCTGTCGAGGCGACAGCGTCTGAATGAAACAGCACACGTGCTTGGAGCATATATATAAGCTGGGTTGGAAGGGGGGAAAAGGGCGCCTTGACAAAAGAATATGCATATCAAGAGGAATTTACATATTTATGGAAAATGCAGGTATGTGATTAGTACTACTTATGCCCATGCATTATGCAGGATTAGCAGCATCAAAGGGAGGGGATATGGGTAATGCAGGTATGTGAATAGTACTACTTATGCCCGTGCATTATGCAGGATTAGCAGCATCAAAGGGAGGGGATGGGGTAGCATTAATAAAGGGAAGGAGTGTTAATAGTATGTAGCTGCAGTAACTAAAACCAGCACGTAAACAACTAAAGTATAAATTACATAGTATCATCAGTATACTAAATATACTATACAATAAGCTGAGTTACTAACAGTAAGTAATACATTACAATTCTACGTCATAAAAATATATAATATTCTTCCATCTAAACTTTATTCTCTTACATCACACGAGTCTACACCGTACTATATACTGCCATAGACAAACCCAACATTAAATTATATACTGTATTGCTAACAGGACCCTGCGGGGTGGGCTGGTAGGAATAATACTTAGTACCGGTACAGGGATATCGACCGGGTATAGAGGAGTTAAAGAAAAAATTACTGTATTCTAGTGTAACGTTAATTAAAAGTGTTTGTTTTGACAAGAAACGCTGTGAGATTTAAAGACTCGTAGTCTTTCATTTCCAAACGATCACATCTGAGATTAATTGACCTTAGATGGGGAAACTCGAATGCATTTACTAGTATAAAGCCTGCCGCACTAGGCCTCGCGAAGCCTTCTCTGCAGTAGACTTAGCGAAGCCTTCTGCACTAGGCCTCGCGAAGCCTCTGCAGTAGGCCTCGCGAAGCCGCGCTTTGCGTGCACAAATAAGGCGATTAAATGTATCTCGTCTCTGTGTTAATAAGCCTCCCGCACTAGGCCTCGCGAAGCCTGCCGCACTAGGCCTCGCGAAGCCTACTGCACTAGGCCTCGCGAAGCCTTCTCTGCAGTAGACTTAGCGAAGCCTTCTGCACTAGGCCTCGCGAAGCCTCTGCAGTAGGCCTCGTGAAGCCGCGCTTTTCGTGCACAAATAAGGCGATTAAATGTATCTCGTCTCTGTGTTAATAAGCCTGCCGCACTAGGCCTCGCGAAGCCTGCCGCACTAGGCCTCGCGAAGCCTGCTGCACTAGGCCTCGCGAAGCCTTCTCTGCAGTAGACTTAGCGAAGCCTTCTGCACTAGGCCTCGCGAAGCCTCTGCAGTAGGCCTCGCGAAGCCGCGCTTTTCGTGCACAAATAAGGCGATTAAATGTATCTCGTTTGTGTTAATAAGCCTCCCACACTAGGCCTCGCGAAGCCTGCCGCACTAGGCCTCGCGAAACCTACTGGACTAGGCCTCGCGAAGCCTTCTCTGCAGTAGACTTAGCGAAGCCTTCTGCACTAGGCCTCGCGAAGCCTCTGCAGTAGGCCTCGCGAAGCCGCGCTTTTCATGCACAAATAAGGCGATTAAATGTATCTCGTTTCTGTGTTAATAAGCCTGCCGCACTAGGCCTCGCGAAGCCTGCCGTACTAGGCCTCGCGCCGTGCTTTTCGTGCACAAATAAGGCGATTAAATGTATCTCGTCTCTGTGTTAATAAATGTATCTTGTCTCTGTGTTAAAAAACGTGCTGCGTTTCAGTAAAATATTTTTTTTTTAAAACGTGATGCGTTTCAGTAAAGTAATTTTGAAGCGAAGTTTAAAGTTTCGCCGTGAGGCGGCGGAAGCGACGGCCATCTTGTTTAGTTCACAGATCGCAAGGGGAGCGGGCGGCCATCTTGTCGGACAGACGGGCGGACGGACGGACGGACACATTAATCTATTGGTGGTCTGGTCCACTTCGTTCCTACCAGTATAAATCACCTTATACATTGTAATATTACACTATGTATTATTCTACCCACCCTAATGTATATCACACTGCTGTATATTGACTATACAATTACGATACTATATATTACTTTGTACATTGTATTAAGCATATAAATGTTATACTATTTGTTATTATACACTGTACCATTGACCGTCGTGTGAAAGATACTAAGAGGAAGCAACGAAATATGTCAATGGGTGAGTAGTGTGGGGAAACTTGTAGCGGAGCAAAGGATCCATTCCCTGCGGAGAATACAATGCCAGTGAGTGGAACGCGGTTTGAAAGTCACCGTAAACGTGAACACAATCAGTTAAGATCCGAAATGGTTTATTACGCCCTTCCAATGATTGCTAAGCCAGAATCCATCTTCTCGGTTGAAATTGTCTTTGTGTTTGTATATGTGGATCGCCTCATGAACGAATCTCTCATGGTAGCCATGAGGCGATCCACATAAACTACATCTATATAATCAATATACTCAATATACTCTCCAATAAGCTGAGCTACTAACAATACGTCATTATACATTACACTTGTAAGTGGCCAGGTCAAGTTTAATACCCGAGTGGGCTTTGTCTGCTAGGATGGGGCTGGTTTAGTGTTGTATTCGTGTGTGTCCGGGTTGTTTACCTCACTCCTATCGTGTTTGTTGTTGTAACGTTCTCACCCCGTGTCCCTATACTGGACACCCGTGACAAAAGAGCTTTATAGCTCATCGGATTCCTCCTCCAGTTAGAAATAAATCGATTTTAATATTTTTTTTAATTGTCTCACGCGCGAACAATCTCCGATGACGTCACCGCAACGCCGCCTCGCCGATGACGTCAGTCAAATGACGTCACCGCCGCCTCATCAGTTGAGCGACGATGACGTCATCGCCGCTCCATTAGTTGAGCGGCGATGACGTCACCGCCGTGTTGGAGTCCGGCGTGAGCGCGGCTCAAGGGCGCTGGGCTGAGCGCGGGCACCACCACCACTACAACAACAACCCACACCACAACAACCCACACCACCACAGCAACAACCACACACCACCACAACAATAACAACCACCCACACCACAACCACCCACACCACAACAACAACAACCACCCACACCACCACCGCTGAAGAGCGCGGCTGCCGCCACCACCACAACAACAACCACCCACACCACAACCACCGCCGCTGCTGCTGCTGCTGGGCTCGGCGCGGGGCCTCTCCCCCCTCTCCTCCGCCTGCTCGACGCGGACAGCGACGAGGTCCGTGCCCCCCCCAACTCCCCCTCGAGCCCCCCCCCCAACTCCCCCTGGAGCCCCCCCCAACTCCCCCTCGAGCCCCCCCCAACTCCCCCTCGAGCCCCCCCCAACTCCCCCTCGAGCCCCCCCCAACTCCCCCTCGAGCCCCCCCCCCAACTCCCCCTCGAGCCCCCCCCCTCCCCCTCGAGCCCCCCCCAACTCCCCCTCGAGCCCCCCCCCCAACTCCCCCTCGAGCCCCCCCCCCCAACTCCCCCTCGAGCCCCCCCCCCAACTCCCCCTCGAGCCCCCCCCCTCCCCCTCGAGCCCCCCCCCAACTCCCCCTCGAGCCCCCCCCCAACTCCCCCTCGAGCCCCCCCCCAACTCCCCCTCGAGCCCCCCCCAACTCCCCCTCGAGCCCCCCCCAACTCCCCCTCGAGCCCCCCCCCCAACTCCCCCTCGAGCCCCCCCCCCCCCGTGGGTGATCGGGGAGCCCCACTGGGTGACTGGTCCCCGGGCCTCCCCTAGGTCCACTCGGACCTCACGAGTAACTTGGCGCGGTGTGTGGTAAACGTCGCCACTCGGGGAGAGACAAAGGCGGTGGGGCCTGGTGCTCTCCACCCCACCCCCTCGTGCGCCGTGCCGGCCTTCATAGGGTGCTACTCGCTAACAGCACTTGCCCCAACAGTCTGTTGTGGCTGTACGGGGGTGGATCTTTGTCTCGTGAGGGCACGTGACCGGGCACCTAGCCTGGCACCAGCGCTCTGGGGACGTCACCGCCGCGCCTGCTGCTGGGAGTGGGGAGCGGTGGCGCAGTGGTTAACCAAAGCGGCGACCCCCACCTGGGTTCGATTCCAGCTCACGGCCCACGTTATTGTGAACAGATCCTGGGCCTCCACTTGGTAGACTCAATGAGTGTCTGGTGCGACGTGTAAACGTGAGCACTGGGGATACAAAGGCGGTCCCGGGTGTGGTGACGACCACAGCAGGCCCTGGGGGCGGCCCCTGTGCTGTGATCGCGACCAGCACTTGCCCCAGCAACCTTTGCAGGCTACACGGCGGAACTGTGCATTGCATTTGTGTGACTGGCCACTGTGAGGCTGTTGGTGAGACTTGGGTGGGTAACGCTGCGTTGGGCCATGGCACCGGGGTCTGATACTCTGTACTCTTAGGTTTTTTCGGTAAAGTCACGTAGGTAAAAAATAATAATAAAATAAAAATAAATCAAAATAACTAAATTAAATCACGACGTTTCGGAGGCAACACAAGTCTCCGTCTTCAGGTGAGACCGTCACAGCCAAATTTACTGTATCAAGTGAAGATAAATCCAAGAGACAAGATCTTATATACTGGTTAAGGGGAGGGGTGAGGAGCTTATCTAAATGTGGCAATCAATGACTGGGATGGTGGGGGGCTAGAAGGGGAAGGTCCAGATTAAGCACCTCCGCAAGAATTACGGCCGATGTTGGCTTCCAAAACCAAAAAATAGCAGCACTGTTAAACGCTGGGGATGTCAACAACTCGGTAAAATAGACTAGTACCTGGGTCTGACTTTGCGACCTCATGTCAGCGAGAACCTTCCACACCTGCAACAACAACCGCCATTCGCCACTAAGTGGCGGTGACGTCACCACGACGCTCGTGCCAGGCTAAGTGCACCCTGAGGCCACGTGAAGTGTCGAACGCCCGCTGGCAGGAGGTCACGGGGCAGACCCAGGTGCCACAGAGGTCGACTGACTGAGATGACTGGCTGATGCACCTCGCCTGGCACAAGCGCTGTGGTGACGTCACCGCCACCTAGTGGTGAGCGGTGGTTGATGTTGATGTGAGCTGGGGAGCGGTGGCACAACCTCCGCCGAGTTCGATCCTGCTGACGGCCACCAACACCAGTGACGATTATCTAAACCGGTTCTGGGCCTCCCCTAGGTCGACTCAGCCTTACATGAGCACTGTACTTTGCGCAGTGTATGAACGTAGCCACAAGGGAGACAAAGACTGGCAGGCGTCGTGCTGACCCACCCACCCCCTTTAGCTGGCTTTAATAGGTGCTCGCTAACAGGTCTTGCCCCAACAGTCGGTTAAAGGGAACTGAGCACTCGACCACCCATTTTCCTGACCGTGACCTCTCTCTTTTCAGACACTTCATCCACGCGCCACCTCCTCGTCCGTCACCGTCGCCCCAATGAACGACCTCAACGACCCACAGCGCATGAACATCCGCGGCGATGACGGCGGCGGCGGCAGCCGCTGGAGCTACGCGCTGGTCGTGCCCATGCTGTGCCTGGCCATCTTCCGTCAGTGACTGACGCACAACAGCGCCCAGGCACCACACACACCACCCCCCTTCCCCCCTCTCTCTGTGTGGCCAGCACTCTCATTGTTTTACAATACAGCTCGTGAGGCAATTATCGGGGTTAGCGTTTCTATCTTTAGATTTTTTTTTTTCAAACAGCAGAGGTCGTCTTGTTTATGGCCTGTTTGCGATCCCAGGCCGAATGGAAAGTCAGTAGTGGATTGTCTTTGGTTCTTTTGGTAAAGTCAGGTAGATAGAAGACGTAAAAATAAAACACGTTTCTATTGCAACACAAGCGGTCATCAATGATGACGACCGCTTGTGTTGCGATCGAAACGTCGTGAGTTTTTGGTGTTTTATTTAGTTGTTTTCTATCTATGTGACTTTACCGAAAGAACCAAAGAATATGAATTCATGCAGTCACGAAAGTTTTAAATCAAAATTCAGGAGTGCATTGTCTTCAGAATCAGAATACTGTACACTGGAGGAATCCGATGAGCTATAAAAGCTTTTTTTCTCACAGATGTAGTGTAGGGGGCACGGAGTCAGAACGTTACAATAAACGATGCAAAATACGATAGGAGTGCAAAGTATAGGAAAGGTAAACATATCACTTAAGAAAATATATTTAAATCAAACCAAACAATTGTTTTTTCTTTCCAGGTAAAGCCCACTGAGCTATTAGCTTCTTTCTCAGAAGCGACCTGGCCACAGATGATAGCTCACCAAAGCGGCTTCTCACGTGGAAAGTTATAGCAGCAAATAATAATAGAAATAATCGGTTGATGTCCAGTTCCGTGAGCTGTTGAGTGGCTTCGTCAATGTTGTGAGTTACAATCTAACCTAATATTGCTGCCGAAAGCCGACTATTACACGTTAACATCAACGTCGGGAGGCTGCTGGCTGGGTGGCTTGGTGGGAGTGCATAGATAGAGGCCACCACCCAGTGTTGCCCAGGGGCTTGTCCACAGTGCTTACTGTAGCCTGTCCAAGCCCGGTGGGTGATGGCAGATACGTCACCGTTCGCTGTCGCCCCGAAGGTCTTCGAGGTCCCTTCAGCCCTTTCCTGCTGTAGGTGGCGAGGCCATAACTCGCATGATTGTCACATCCTGAAATCCCCTCGCCGTCTTAAAGCGTGGCTCTGCCGAGGGGCGACAATGTCCCATGTAGGTGGTCATGTCCCGCTGAGGAAGTCGCATTGTCGTAGCACGGTGGTCCTTCAACGTTGAGTTGACAAACGGGCAGGGCCTGCCACGATTGGCTTCTAGTTATGTTTCTGGCCGTTTTGTCTCCGTAAATTTGCTACTTTTTGACACGTAGCTGAATATCGACGACGCTGAAACCCGGTGGCCAAGGTGATTGCGTATTGGTATCACGTTAGTTAACTTCACGGGCGAGTGCAATCATTGTCATTGGCAGCATGCCCATTCGTTATCTACCACCTCCGTAAGTATTTTGCGTTGGCGGTCTCTCACCTCAGAGGGGAGCAGCCAAGCTACACAGGTCTGTGCTCATCAGCAGCAGTCCATCGAGACTATTGGCCTCTTCAAGAGGAAGCAACGAAATCTATAATCAATATGTCTTCACATCTCCGTCTTGCCACGTGAATTTTTTTTTCACAAACCATCGGCCGCACGGCCTTCCGAAAGTGCACAATTTAAGCGGCATTGTTTTGAGACGAGCACAGTCTGGACCGGGTCAGAGCGGTAAGCCTGCACCGCTGAGAAATCTGGGCACGAATCCAGGTTTCAGTTGCCTTATCTTGTAAAATAAAAATAGTTTAGTTTAAACTGGTCTCTCACCGATGACTGCACGAAATATCAATGTCATTCTATTCAGTCGCGCACAGCGGGATGTTGCGGTGGGCCCACACGCCCGTGTTGCTGTGTAACGCCGTCCGTGCGTTGTGTGCGCTTACGCCTGCGCCGTCCAGGCTCGATCTGGACGCGCGAGACGGAGCAGGAGAAGAGTCGCCTTCGCGAGGAATTTGAGCGGCGCACCCGCGACACGCGCTCCGAGCTCGACCTGCGCTACCGCTCGCTCGTCACGGAGAGCGGCAGCTCGCTAGCGCGCCTCGAGCTCAAGCACGAGAAGCTGAAGCAGCGCTTGAGCGGCTACCGCGAAGCCTTCGCCGCGCAGAGCCAGCTCCTGGCGTCCGAGCGCCGCCAGCTGAATTCGCAGCGCGAGGAGCTGCAGGGCGAGCGGCGGGCGCTGGAGTCGGTGCGCCGTGTCGGCCCCCTTCACGACGCCGTGCTGGCGCAGGAGGAGCTCGCGCTGGCGGGGGCGCGCGCGTCTCTGCGCGCGCTAGAGAGCGCCCTGGAGGAGCGCCAGGCCGTCTACTGCAGCCTGCTGGTGCCGCGGAAGCGCCGGCACGTCCTGGAGCGCGACATGCTGCGGCGCGCGCGCTCCGAGGTGGCGCTGGGCCGCATGGCGGTGCACGACGGCCTCCTTGACATATTCGCCAACGACGGGCACTGCGCGCACGTCACCAATGAGGACAACAGGCGCAACGGCAAGCTCATGTGGGTGTACGTACGGCACTGGCACACGCTGCTGGAGCTGCACAAGTACCAGCAGGTGCAGCAGCGTCTGCACACGGAGGATCCGCTGGAGCCTCCGTCAGCGTGAGGAGGAAGAGTGTGATGGTGGTGGTGAAGATGGTGTTGTGGGTGTTGTCGCTAGAGAGCGCTGCAATGCGTTTCGGTTTGTGCCGCGTGTTGCTACGGCACGATGGCCCCGACGTTTCGCTCGCTCGGGAACTACCGTAGGAGCTCCCGACGCGTGGCAGCGAAACGTTGGACGTCACGCCGTACAACGGGTGCGGTACAACCCCTGAAAAGCGTCGGCGAGACGTTCAGCGAGGCGTTTAGCATTGGAACGGGCGATGATCGAAATACGATTGGACTGCAGTGTTGCTTCTAATCCACAAGATGGTGTTGGCAGATCAAAGTTGTGTTGATCTCCTTTGCTTTTGGGGGTGGCGGTGCATGCTGTCTGGGTTGCAATGTAACCAACACTCTTTTTAGATTTTGTGAATCTCATAAACCTCACAGACTCATTGTGGGGGGTGGCTACTAAGGGATGCAGGTCACCGTGTTCTCAGGGGGTATAAGATACTCCAGAAAATCAAACTCGCCCCATACTCGTGCCCGGTTTGGATACAGTCATATAAATCCAGGTCTCGCAAAGACAAAGATCCACCCTGTAGCCTTACCAGACTGTTGGGGCAAGTGCTGTTAGCGAGCACCTATGAAGGCCGGAACGGCACACAAGGGGGTGGGTGGCCAGCACCATGCCCCGGTCGCTTTTGTCTCCAAAGTGACGATGTTTAAACACCGCACCAGGTACTCATTTAAAGCTGAGTCGACCTACAAGAGGCCCGGGACCGGTTCAAATAAGAGTGGATGCTGTTGCCTGGGAATTGAAGTCTGGTCGCCTGGTTTGTAGCGCAGCGCGCTAACCACTACACTAACCACATCACTACCGCTCTCCACTAACACTGACACACGCGGCTGTCAGAACATAAAATGCACCACCTACTGTTGGTTTAAAATACAGAGGTGGGTGGGGGGAGATGTGTATTGTAAAGCTCACGTGTTTTTCCGCAAACAAGCGCTCGATGGCAATTGACTTGCAGTACATTTTTACAATGTAAAGTCAAAAACTGAAATAAAAGGTATAACGTTGGTGATCCATGACGTCAGTGGCGATGCATTCAAGATTGACGATCTGCTGATGCTGCTGTGCACGACGCGTCGGTGGTCGTTCATCCGTGCTACCCCTTTTCCACTGCCACAACCAAGCCGAGCCGGGGCCGTGCCGATCCAGCCCGGCGCAGATCGGCAAGTGCGGCGTTTGGAAACGCGGGGACCATTGTTCTACCCCACTCCGATTCCCGCACCTCCCGATTAGCACGGTTGGCTACGTGCGGCATGCGAAAGAAGTTCAACGTACACACACATACGTCTCCGATGGCAACCCTCCCTCAGCCAGTGGTGGAACTTTCACATTCCTACAGAGGCTGGACCAGTTCACCCACCGAAAACTGGTAACATCCCACAAAAGCGGTGTTCATTTTACGTGCGACGGTCACGGTGACGATTGGATGAGCTTTTCTTTATTAACCCATCTTTTGAACTGTGGCGTCGAAAGCTCCTGAGCATCGTGCAGACAATTTTTTTTTTAAACAATAGAACAATCTGCGGCCCTTTGTGTCAATGTACTGCCGGATGAGGGTCTCCCCCCACGCTGTGCTGGTTGTAGCGGAGCGGGGTGGGGGGGATTATTTGACCATACTTCACCACCGACGGCGTCACCGCTCGGGAGCATTTTACCAACACTTTAAGGGCATGGGAGCGCACGTGGGCCACGAACAATGTTCAACCAACAATGTTTAACCAAAATGCGAACCCTGTGCAAACCTTTGGCACTTGTGGGTCTCCTGACAATGGATTGAAGACACCGCCCCCCCCCCACCCCCCCGGAACATCCTTAGAATCCATTAGTACAGCTCCGTTGGTGCGCGAGAGGCCACGGTGAGATGTTGTCGCTCCTTCCAAATTAGGGGGGACTACGAATCGACCGGACCGCAGGCACGAAGGCCGCCGCCGGCGCCGCCGCGTCCTCTGAAGCATCGCGACGTCGCAACGGTACGGTGCTTGCGTTTATTTACGGCCGTGTTTGGTTTGTGTTCGAATCACGGTTGGGAGATGGCTCGGCCCGTCAATCTCTCTGCGGTCGATTAAATGACTACCACTCTGTGGGAAGTTAGCAGAGGCGGTCCTTTCGAAAGACTCGTTCCCGCCACGGGAATGTGGAATTTCTACAACTGGTTTAGGGCTGTAAGAGCCGAGCATCGCCTCGGTTCAAAAAAACCTGGGAACATTTGATAATTGTGTGTTTTTTGTGTGCATGTTGTGGTTTGCGTGTGTAGTTATGTTTATATGTAATATCCACATGCGTATGGTTTCTGTGTGTGAAGCGTTTGCGTGTGGTTGTAGATGTGCGTGGAGCGGTAGTGTAGTAGTGATTCGTGCGCTGTGCTACGAATCCGGCGACCCGAGTTCGATTCCCGCTCGACGATTATCTGAACCGGTCCTGGGACTTCCCTTGGTCGACTCAGCCTCAAATGAGTTCCTGGTGCAGTGTAAACATCGCCACTGGGGAGACAAAGGCGGCCGGGCGTGGTGCTAGCCACCCACCCCCTCGTGTGCCTTGCCAGCCTTCATTGGTGATCGCTAACAGAACTTGCCCCAACGGTCTGTTAAGACTATACGGGGGATCTTTGTCTTTTTGAATCCGCAGTGATTGCTTATTCGGGTGATTCATGTGAAAGTTTCTCACGTGAAAATTATTTGTATTCCCGGGGTAATATTGCTATGAAGATCTGCACAGAATTTCTTCAGCAGTTGTATGATTCTTGTTTTCAGCTCTATTGTTTCATCTTGCTCAGGGCTACTAATTGCAGTAACACTCATCACCAACTTGCACCACTGCCACCTCGGTTCAAGTCGCTCCTCTTATCCGGCGCACACTGATCTCGTTCGTTCTCTATTTGTTTCTTTGGGGCCGTCCATAAATGACGTCACGCACCTGGGCGGCGGGGGGGGGTCAGAAATTTGTGTCGATGTGGAACGAGGGGGGGGGGGGGGGGTTGAGAAATGTGACGTCACATCAAAATGCGCAACTTTAAATAAATATAGACAACACGTTCTACTTAATTAAATAGACTTTTTAATAAATAGTTTCTGCTACAACATCAGAGTGCAGCGCCACATTAAATACGCACTAAAATGACAATAGTTTAAAGCGATTTGAAGCATGTTTTATTTTGGGGGGGGGGGGGCAGAGCTTTGTGACGTCATATTTGAGGGGGGTCTGACTTTTTGTGAGGCCGTGTGACGAAGGGGGGGGGGGGGCAAAAATCGTCCAAAATCGCGTGACGTCATTTATGGACGGCCCCCTTCATCCTTTACCCATCCCAGTGTATGTACGACCACTCGGGTCCTCAGGGCTCTGGAGATTCTCTGTCATGTCAATGAGGTACTAATCAACCATCGCTCCGTGTGATGGTGGACCTTTGGAGCTCAGACAAATGAATGACTTCTCGTTGAAGATAAACTGTTAATGATTATTCACTCCCGATTTTTATTACCGCGCGGTGAACACACGGTGCAAGTCTGCAGATGGTCACGTTCGATGTGCAGCCGCGGGTTCCTTAAATGTTTGATCCTTGACATTTATTTACCCAGGGCTAAGCCTCACCGAGAGGAGTCTCGAGACCCCCGGTATCACTGTTAAAATGTTTGCCAAATCCTAAAAAAATATACCGACAAATTGCTCACTTGGTTAAAGTTTTTGTTGGTATCTTGGGGGGCGATGTTTGCTATCCGGTGTTTTGCGGCGTATTCATGGGCCAGGTTTTCTGTGGGGGCGGCTGGGGGTTGTGGGTAACACTCCTCCCAAACTGGGCACCTTAATATATTTTAGTAGTTTATTATTAATATTACAATTTTTTTGAATATATGCATCTTCGATTCCTAATGTGAGGGACAAAGCGAGCCCCTACCTGCCCCCTGTGTTTGCTCAAAATTTAGCAAAACTTGGATTGTGATGCCATCCCGCACAATGGAGGGGGGGGGGGGGGGGCTCCTCCGTCTACCACGTAGGCCTTCGCGACCTCTATTATGGGAGCTTCTCCGTTCAAAACAACACCACCGCCACGTGACCTTTAGCTCGCACCGTGACGCATGCGGTCAACGGTTCTCGACGGTTTCGACAAGCGGCAGAATTCACTTTATACCGTCAAGTACGGCGACTCCTCTACTTACGGACATTCGACTTACGGACATTCGACTTACGAACTTTAAGAGATACGAACATACCTGGTTAGTACGTCCAGTTGCCTGTTCGGACCGAGAGTCGTAAGTTCAACTGCCCCACGCAATAGACGGCGGTGGTGGCTTCTACATCTGCAAAACGTGAAGAACCAGTGGCATCTACATCTGCAGAACATGAAGAACCAGTGACATCTGTAGAACGTGAAGAACCAGTGGCATCTACAGGAGATGATTCAACTTTGAAAGCCATTCCCCGTGTTTAGTGTACACGCCAACATGTTTGGAATCGAGAGGAGTAAAGTTGAACAAATCGACTTGCGAACAGACCTCTGCAACCGAACTCGTTCGTAAGTCGAGGAGTCCCTGTATCTCTATATCTCCATAAATGCCCTCAATAGTGCTTAGCAAAGTGGACACTTGACAATGCTCTCTTTCTGTGTGCCGCGTTCTGTGTCACAGACGTCGGCGATCATAGACTTCCGTGTAGCTCTGTCCACGATACTCAGGAACTTGGCATTAGATTCTACCCAGTTGCATCCAACGCTTAAGAAGTTGCTTACACACTCAATCCGCTGTGCTACCCGGGCTTCTTGTACCTTTGTAATGCGAGCGCGGGCGACCTCCCGGATGTGACGTCACGGAGAGGTGGAGTTAGGTGACGTGGGAGCAAGGTTAAGGTTCTTAAGAGACGAGACCGGAAGAGGAGGGCAGAACGAGTGAGACTGGACCAGAGTAAGGCCACGTGGGCGAAGCCAGGAGGAGTGGCACGGCGGCCAGCGGTGGCCAGCTAAAGGAACAGCCAGCGGAGCAGAGAGAGAGAAACAGCAGTGGGGCTGCTGGAGAGAAGGCGGTCGAGGAGCCGCAGTGAACACAGCCGGCGAGGCTGCGGGTGAGAGAAAGGCTACGAGAGCGACGAGAGGAGAGAGAGAGGCTACGAGAGCGACGAGAGGAGAAACTGCAGAGAGAACAGCCAGTGGGGGCTGCGTGAGGATAACAGCCAGCAAGGCTACAACGACGACGGGAGACCAACAGAGGAACTGTTGGCGTGACGGAGTTAACAGCAGTATCAGTGTCGGTATAGAAGTCTAATAAAAGGACAGCCGTGTGGGTTACGAGGAAGGACCGAATAAAGGACACCAAGCCAGACTTCGTGGTCGAGTCCTTTATTACATTGGTGTCGGAAGTGCAACGGCATGTCGAAACAAGTAAGAAAGAAAAATGTTCCAGCGCCAGCATCGGCTTCTTCGTCCGAAGACGACGACGACTTCCCTCCTACCATGGATCCTGCTGGGATGGTGGAGGAGAGCCCTGCTGAAACGAGCGCGGGGACGGGAGTTGAAGATGTAGCCGCAGTGTCAGGGCCGCCGACAACATCAGACGCTGATCTGCGATGGCTGCAGGTGGCGGAGCAACTGGAGACTCTCAAGGATGTCCTGGGCCAATTGTGTCATCTCGTCACCCCAAGGACGGCGACGGAGAGAGCAGAGAGTGCTCCACAGGCCGCCACGGTATCTTCACTCCCGGCGCCATCGGCCACGCGGCAGGAGGCCGCCATCTTGCGCGTTCCGCGGTGGGAAACCACCATCTTGACCACGCCGCGGTTCGACGCCATTTTGAATTTGCCACCGGAGGAACCATCGGCGGAGGGCGGAGTAAAGCGAAGTCGGAGTCGCCATCTCACCACGGTCAAAGAATTCGCCATTGGGGGCGACTGGAGCGCTTTCGCCTGCAGATTTTTGGCGGCGGTCCGTTCTGCGAGATGGACCGATGCTGAGGCCTTAGAAGTGTTGCCGACTCTTCTGGACGACGAATCTGTTCGATTTTTTCGTTCCATTAAGGCCGAAAAGAAGAAAACATTATACGGAGTTTTTCAAGAAATGGCCGACGCCTACGAGCCACCTGACGACGCGCATCGGCGATTCGCTCAACGACAACGAGCGCCCGAGGAGTCGCCTGTGGCGTACAGGGGTGCGGTGCTTGATTTGGCTATGGCCGCGTATCCAGATACAACACCTGACCTGCTCGAGCCTCTCATCTTGGGCAAGATGCTCGAGCTGTCGCGGGATCTTGGGATTCCCATGCTGGTGTGCGGGCATGAGAAGCTCACCTCCCGGGCGGCGGCAAAATGTCTGGATGCACAATTCAACCTACGACGGTGGAAACAAGTCGCGGCGTGGACAGGGGGGCCCGTCGCAGAGGGTGGCGTTCTGGGTTGGGACCCTACGCAGTCGGTATACGTGCCGGATGGGGGGGGCCCTCAGGAGCTGACGGCCGCCTCGGGGCCATGGTCAGGCCGCGGTGGACCGGCCCCTCGTGCTGCACCACCGATACGAGGCCGGCGCGATGCAAGGCCTGCGCTTCGGCGCAACGACGCCGATTGTTTCCGCTGCGGACGGAGGGGCCACTACGCAAAGGACTGCTGGGCCCGCATCCCGGGTCCGCCGCAACAGGAGGCCTCATTACCGGCCAAGCCGCCCAAGGATCCACCGAAACAGGCAAGTCGGCACGCACCAGACACCCGGCAAGGCTTTACACCTCACCCATCACCTTCGTTGTGCGGTCATAGTGTTGTTGTTAAAGAGAGACCTTCGACGGGGCCTTGTCGCTCTGTGACGCAGTGGCGCAAATTGGCACGGAGGGTTGTCGCAGCCGCTACGGGTTCGTCCACCGTGCCGGGGTCTATACAAGGGGTGGACGTGCGCATTTTGGTCGATTCCGGGGCGTCCGCGACTATTATTTCGGATGTCATTTTTCATCTGTTAGGCATCCAACCCGGGGCCGTGCGTCCGGTTTACGGGTCGTGCGTCGCTGCGAACGGGGGTAGTATGGGCATCGTGGGCCAGGTGGACGCTAAAATATCTATTGGGGATGTGTCGGCCTCGGGCGTTGTGTTGATTTCAAGATCCTTGGCAGTTCCTTGTTTATTGGGCACTGATTTTCTGGCTAAGATGCCTATTTTGATCAAAATTAATGAGAATTGTATTGAACTGCCGGGTGGCCGTCAAATTTCGTTTCTGCCGTCGCCCTGGGGGCGACCTGCTTCGGCCGTACAAGTGCAGGCGCTATCCGTGGCATCTGTTGACATTCCACCTGGTTCACAGATGCTTATTCCCCTTGCGGTATCGGAAGCCCCTGCCTGGTCGGCTGGGAGCGGTTGGGATCTTGTTGTCACCTTCAGCCTCGATAACGGCCGGGTTGGCGCTGGTTGGAGCGCAGACCATCGTCCGGCCAGATCAATTACCGTTTTTGCAGGTGCACAATGCGGGTACTGAAAATGTTTGCGTCCCGGCCGGCACGGTTGTGGCACATGCCACCACGGCATTTACGGCTCACGATTGTTCGCATAGCCAGGGAGTGGTTGCTGGTGTTTCCGAGCCTGTGGCTTCGGATGACCGCTGGATTGCTAGCTTATGTGACGGGAATTCTTCCCTGTCTGTGGATCAAAGGGGTGCGCTTCACAAATTGTTATTGACGTATTCGGATGTGTTCAGCTCCAATGATTTGGATTTGGGACGCACCTCGTTGCTTCACCATCACATTGATACAGGCGACGCTGCCCCTATTCGGTTGAATTCGCACCGAATGAGTCCCGCCGAGCGAGAACACGTTCGGGGGGCAGTGGAAGATATGTTGGCTGCGGATATTATATCGCCGTCAAACAGCCCATGGGGCGCGCCTGTGGTTTTGGTTAAGAAAAAGGATGGCAAATTGCGATTCTGTGTTGACTTTCGAAAATTGAATAAGATATCGGTGGCAGATGCGTATCCCCTGCCGCGTATGGACGACTCCCTCGACGCATTGTCGGGGGCTAAGTTCTTCTCGACACTGGACCTCTCTTCGGGATTTTGGCAGCTTCCCCTTGACGAGCCCTCACGGGAGAAGACCGCATTCCGTACGCCGCAGGGGTTATTTCAATTTAACTGCCTTCCGATGGGGCTGAATGCGGCCCCTGCCACATTTCAAAGGTTCATGGAGCTCGTTTTGACGGGGTTGCAGTGGGAGACATGTCTCATATATTTGGACGATATTATCGTCTTCAGCCGCACATTTGATGAACATTTAAGGCGGCTGGAGACGGTGTTCGCGAGGATGCGCTCCGCGAACTTGAAATTTAAACCAAAGAAATGTCACCTACTGCAACGGTCCGTCCGTTATTTGGGGCACATCGTGAGTGCTGAGGGGGTGTCTACGGACCCGGAAAAAACGGCGTGCGTTCGAGATTGGCCAACTCCGGCCACCGTGGGGGATGTACGTCGCTTTCTGGGATTTGCCTCGTATTATCGAAGATTTGTACCGAATTTTGCGACCATCGCGAGGCCCTTGCACCTCCTTACGGGTAAGGGACGTAAGTTTGCGTGGGGACCGCCAGAAGAGGCGGCCTTTCAGAGTCTGCGTAATCTGTTGGCTACAGCCCCAACATTGGATTATCCGGATTTCGATCAACCGTTCATTCTTGATACGGACGCGAGTGACACAGGTATTGGCGCGGTGCTATCTCAGTCTAAAGGGGGCGTAGAGCGCGTCGTTGCGTATGGTAGCCGGGTCTTGTCGCCCGCGGAAACCCGCTACTGTGTCACTCGCAGGGAACTCCTAGCCGTTGTTTTTTTCCTACGTCAGTTTCGACCGTACCTGTACGGCCGTTCCTTTATCGTACGTACGGATCATGCGGCCTTGCAATATGCCCTTAAAATGGATCAACCTTCCGGCCAGCTGTCGCGTTGGTTGGACACGCTACAAGAATTTTCATTTCAAATTCACCATCGTAAAGGGGTGCGCCATGCGAACGCAGACGCACTTTCTAGATTGCCGCAGCGCTCCCCTTGCAAATGTGCGTCGGGGACGCAGAGATGTGCGCCCAGCCTACCCCCCCCTCAGCCGGTGGTATTGGCTGTGGAGGAGTCGGATGCTCCTGTGGAACCGGGGCCGACTGATGGGGTTTTGAATCTGCCACGGTCTGTTTGGATAAGGGAGCAGATGATGGATGAGTCGCTAGTGTCCTTGCGGAAGCGATCCAAAGTGGAGATTGGGGGTCCGGTTACGGAGGGTGCGCCGGAAACCGCGGTCCGAGATGGTCTGCTTATGTGGAGGGAAAGTCTCCAGGAACGCTGGCGTCTGGTAGTGCCTGCGTCCCTACGATACGAGTTGATTAGAACTCTCCATTGTGACACGCTATTACATCTGGGTGTGCAGAAGACCTTGTTGACGTTGCAACGTCATTATTTTTGGCACGGCATGGCGACGGATGTCGTGGGGCACGTCCGCGCGTGCCCTGACTGTGCCCAGCGTAAGCCACCTAAACATCCTTATGTGCCGCCCTTACAGTCAATTCAGGTGTCTCGGGTCAATGAATTGGTGGCACTGGACATTTTGGGACCTTTCCCACCTTCGGCGAGGGGTAATAAATATTTGCTGGTCGGGGTTGAGTACCTCTCCCGTTGGCCGATGGCCTGGCCGTTGCCCGACCAATTGGCCGCGGCCATTACCGACGCCTTTTTGTTCGGATACGTTATGGACAAGGGTGCGCCGGAGAGACTCCTTACGGATCAGGGCCGAAATTTTTCTTCTAAGTTATTGGCGGAAGTATGCGCGGGCCTAGAGACTAAGAAGGTCCGGACATCCCCATACCATCCGCAAACGGATGGTATGGTTGAGCGGCTAAACCGGACATTGTCTGCCATGCTGTGCCACACGGTGAGTGAGCAACAATCGGATTGGGACCTGCACATCCCGGGGGTGCTTTCGGCGTATAGGATGACTCCTCATGCGGCTACGGGTTATTCGCCGTTTTACCTTATGTATGGTCGGGAAAACGTGCCGCCGATGGATGTGCAGATGGGAACCGGTGTAAGGGGACCTTGTAAACCACTTCCTGACTACATTCGGGACACTGTTCGCCGGGTCTCGGAGGCGCGGGAGAGTGCCCGTGTGGCTACGGCCAAAGCTCAGGCCCGGAATGAGAGGTATGCACGGCGTTCCAAGGGGGAATGCCCCTGGAAGGTTGGGGACCTGGCCTGGCTCCATTGCCCGCAGGTGCGGCCGGGTACCCCTCCCAAATTTCACAAACCTTGGCAAGGGCCCGTCCGCCTCATTGAGGTTCCTAACCCTCAGTCGGCGCGTGTTCAGATTGGTTCTCGCCGCTGGTTTGTTCACACGTCGCGCTTGAAACCGTATGTTGCTCCCCTACATGATGCTTCATCTCCCAATGTTGCCTTGCCGGGGTCTGTTGCTGCCGACTCTCCCCCGCCTGCGTCTATTGATCTTGCTAGAGCGCCTGTCGTACCTGTTCCAGGCAGGCCGGCCTTGACACCGGAGGGGACGAGGCGCCCTGCTCGGAGGGTGCCTGCCAGATCTGCGGGACCTTCGAGCCCTGCAGCCCTTCCGACCCCGCTGCAGACACATCCGCGGGACACGCCCGAGACTGATCCTTCAGGGACACGGGACGTTGGTGGACTTCCAACAGCGACAGGGGGATTTCACCCTGTCGCTCCTCAAACTCCATCACGTTCCCGTTCCGCGGATGGGCCGCCGACCGTCCGGGACGGGCCGGCGACCCGCACACGCTCTAAATCCCTTGTGTTTCGTTGATTGTTATGTTGCGTTGTTCTTACTGTGTATTTATTGCCTGCTTCTGCTACGTTATTTGATTATTGAGTTGTGTTGATTGTTCTTACTGTTATATTGCATGCTTGGTGTCCTTTGGTGTGTTAGGGTCGGGTTCGCCCGCATTACTGTTGGTGTTGTTCAGCCGAGGTCGGCTGGGTTTTTCTCCACGGGGGAGGGTGGTGTAATGCGGGCGCGGGCGACCTCCCGGATGTGACGTCACGGAGAGGTGGAGTTAGGTGACGTGGGAGCAAGGTTAAGGTTCTTAAGAGACGAGACCGGAAGAGGAGGGCAGAACGAGTGAGACTGGACCAGAGTAAGGCCACGTGGGCGAAGCCAGGAGGAGTGGCACGGCGGCCAGCGGTGGCCAGCTAAAGGAACAGCCAGCGGAGCAGAGAGAGAGAAACAGCAGTGGGGCTGCTGGAGAGAAGGCGGTCGAGGAGCCGCAGTGAACACAGCCGGCGAGGCTGCGGGTGAGAGAAAGGCTACGAGAGCGACGAGAGGAGAGAGAGAGGCTACGAGAGCGACGAGAGGAGAAACTGCAGAGAGAACAGCCAGTGGGGGCTGCGTGAGGATAACAGCCAGCAAGGCTACAACGACGACGGGAGACCAACAGAGGAACTGTTGGCGTGACGGAGTTAACAGCAGTATCAGTGTCGGTATAGAAGTCTAATAAAAGGACAGCCGTGTGGGTTACGAGGAAGGACCGAATAAAGGACACCAAGCCAGACTTCGTGGTCGAGTCCTTTATTACACCTTTAATAATAATTTTCGCGAGTGACTCGTAACCGGGCTTAGACCGTCAACTCCCGGACACTTGAGAACGCGGTTTAATCACAGGCAGCGGCTGAACCCTGGAATGGAACCCAGGGACCTCAGCGATGCCGGCTCAAAGCCGCGGCCTCCAATCCCTCGGGCCTCCTCGCTCTCGTGCCCTTTAATGGAAAGGGCGCTGTATAAATACAAAATAGAATATAATTACTGTACCGCCATTCCTCGGAGCTTCCGTCACACATCCCCCAGACTCATCTTCTTGGTTCTTTCGGCAAAGTCACGTAGAAGGGAAATAATAAAATAATAAAAATAAAGCGTAATACAATACAATTCTCACGACGTTTCGGCCACAACGCAAGCAGCTGTCCTCAGGTGAATAACAGGTCTGTCGGAAAGACAGCGTCTGAATGAACACCACCAAGCTTGGCAGCGTATATTTAAGCTGGGTTAAAGGAGGAAGGGCGCCTTGACAAATGAATTTGCATATCAACATGAATTTTGCATATTTATGGAAAATGCTGATATGGGATTAGTCACTACTTGTGGAATGCGTAGGAAGTGGGGGGGGGGGGGTCTCAAAGTCATATTATGCCCGTGCATTATGTAGGATTAGCAGAAACAAAGGGAGGAGGTAGGGTTAGCAGTAATAAAGGGAAGCAGTTTTAATAGTAAGGAGCTGCAGCAGCCCAAGCCACTGCAGTCACGAAAGCTTTAAATCGAAAATCCCCCAGACTATAAAACTATAAACTATGTTTTTATTTTTAACAGGTAAGGCCCCACTGAGCTATGTAGCTCTTAAATTTCGATTTAAAGCTTTCGTGACTGCAGGGATTCATCTTCTTGGTTCTTTCGGTAAAGTCACGTAGAAGGGAAATAAAAAAATAATAAAAATAATAAAAAAATAATTCTCACGACGTTTCGGCCACAACGCAAGCAGCCGTCCTCAGGTGAAGACCAGGTCTGCCGGGGAGACAGCGTCTGAATGTAGCTCTTTTTCAGGAGTGGCCTGGCCACCACAAATGATAGCTCAACGCAGTGGGCTTATCACCACGTGGAAATGTACAGCAGCAGCCAAATAGTCTGAACGCGTGATGTTTCTAAATGTTGAGGGATAGGAAAACCGTAGGACCCGGAGAAAAATCCGCGCGACCATGGGGAGAGAAAGACGCAAACTCCAAATATACAGGCGTCAGGTTTTGGATCGAACCCACGACCTCCTGTAGTTAACGCCTCGCCACCGTGGTGTCTAGCACCCATTTCACTCAAGACTTTGTTTCTCTTCACACTGCCAGCCTCTCTGCCCTTCACACATTGGACACACTTCGCGTGCACTCAATAATTCATTGATTGTGATTTGTGTCACCTGAATCCGAGTGACGCGCAACGCCACGTAATCTGCGTTTGACACACTTGGGCTGAATTAAATTCGTATTCCCTGATCTGATGGATTAGCTGCTTTGTTATAACCCACGTGTGTGCTTAGCGACTGGAAAGCCGTGAATTACATGCTGTATTGTTTAAAGCCTTCAGGCTGGCTTGCCTACAATCCATCCTGGTTTTTGTTCAGCCCGAATTGTACGAGATCCTTCAAAGATCTGGACGTACAGTTCCCATTTGTCCTCAATCCCATTGCAATAATCAACGGTGAGCTCCTCTGGCAGGCGCGGCTGCATTGGTAGCACGCTTTTCCAGCCACCGTATACCAAAGCAGCTTCTCTTTGGCCGGATCGAGGGGTCCAAACGAGCGCTGCACGGGCTAGAGAAGAGATTGAGCTGATGTGGTACAGGAGGACGTGGAGCTGAGTGGACTTGCCAATGACCGATACCAGCGGTGTCAAGATCGGCCTCTGTGGAGGAGGCTCGTGAAGGACGCTGCTGGACAGTTGGAGGCAGTCGCCCTCCAGCAACAATGGAGGGCAGAGGAGCGACGCTCACGAGCCGAACCACCGGGCAGATAAAATTCTGCAATTTTGGCACTGAGGGGGGCACAGGTGGTGCATCTGCCAGTCATTCCATGGCACCTGGGCCTGTCCCGTGACCTGCCAGCAGCGAGAGCCTTCTGTACACTTCACGTGAGATGGCCTTAAGGTGCACCTAGCCTGGCACAAGAGACGTGGTGGCGAACAACGGCTTTTCGCTGCGGTGGATGTGCGTGCGTGTGTGTGCGAGTAGGAGTGTGTGGGGCCATGGATCCCGTGGTGTCGTTCGATGGCAGCAAGGTGGAGCTCTGCGACGGTGCGGCCAAGGGGGCCCAAACGGCGCTCGAGAATGGAAACGCCTTCTCGATGGACACGGCGAGCGGGTGAGTGAGCTCTCACTCGCTCGTTCTCGCTCGCTCGCCCTCGCTGGCTCTCACTCGCTCGCTCTCACTCGCTCTCACTCGCACTTATTAACTCTCATTCACTCACTCAGACATCCCATCCTCACTCACTGTCCCTCACTATCACTCTCACGCCAAAAAAAGACAAAGATCCCCCGTATAGCCTTAACAGACTGTTGGGGCAAGTGCTGTTAGCAAGCACCAATGAAGGCCGGAACGGTACACGAGGGGGTGAGTGAGCAGCACCACGCCCGACCGCCTTTGTCTCCCCAGTGGCGATGTTTACACGCCACACCAGGTACTCATTTGAGTCGACCCAGGAGAGGCCCAGGACCGGTTCAGGTATTCGTCACCGGCGGTGTTGGCCGTGAGCGGGAACCGAACTCGGGGTCCCCCCGGGTTCATAGCGCAGCACGATAACCGCGCACTCAAGCCTCACACGCTTGTCGCCGCACTCACATGTCACGCTCGCAAGCCCGCCCGTGCGCCCGCACACTCCTTTACTGGGCACCTTGATGGCCGATAGACGCACGTGAGCGGGCCCGGGCAGCTCACGCCGCTCGCGGTGACGATGGGCCAACGGACAAGGCCCAGCGGTGGAGTGGCAGTCGAAGGAAGGGGGAACACACACACACGCACACACGCACGCGCATGCACCCTGAGAGCACAACCAGTGCAGCGATGCAGCGGCGATGAAGGAGCTCGAGAGATGGCCACATAATAGGGAGGGGTTCATTTGGCCGTTGAAGGATTGGAGCGGGCGAGTGAGGGTCTCGCTGGGTGCTCGACTGCTGACGAACTGCCAATGTCTTTGTGTTCACTTTTCGCCTGCTGGACTGTTGTAGCGTGTTGATGTCGGCAAGAACGACGATGACGACGTGGGAGTCTAACCGATGCCTTTGTGTTCACAGTCGCGCCAGAGCCGCCATGGAGCCGGTGGTGATGTCACTGTGGCTCAGGTAAGCGTCAGCGGAGTCGCACTGATTGCACGGTTCGGGTTCACGCAAAACATCTTGAACCTGTAGGAACCGAGCCATGCCGATGGCATTGCATGCCATGAACTAAACTAAACTTTTTATTTTACCAGGTGAGGCCCACTGAGCTATACAGCTCTTTTTCAGAAGCGACCTGGCCACAAATGATAGCTCTACCAAGTACCTTATCGTGTGGACATTTATAGCAGCCAAATACTCTGAACGCACGTTTCTAAATGTGAAGGGAAAACCGGAGGACCCGAAGAAAAATCCACGCGACCACTGGGAGAGAAAGAGACATACAAACTCAAAATATACAACAGGTGTCAGTGTCGGGATCGAACCCACATCCTCCTGCATACCAGGCGAGGTAGTTAACATCTCGCCACCCCGGCGCCCTCGATATGAACGATATCAAGACACGTGTAAGACGCCCGTCGTCTGAGCCCGAGGTCCTCCGATGTAGCTCGGAATGGCTTCTGAATTCACCCCCTTGTGTTGCATGTGTTGAGTAGTTCAGACGGACGTACTCGGAGACGGAGGTAAGGGCTTCCGCCAGGGTTTATTAAAGCTGTTACAATAACACACAGGGTACACAACTCCCAGGGGCTAGGGGTCCTACTCTGAGTGCGGGTCCCTGCTGGCTAGCTCCGGTCTCTCTCGTGTTGGATCGTGGACTCTACCGACTCCACCGACCGGATAGAGAAGCACCTCTACGGCTACCACCGGTTTCTCCCCAGACTCACTATTCGATCCCTCTCTCTACCCCTGGTTCCCTCTTCACCCTTCTTACTTTACCCGTTACCACGGTGACCCCGCTTACGTCACGGGGTATCCCTTTTAACCTCCAGGAGCCGTGACGTCATGTGCACTGTCCAGCGCGCGTGACCCCACGTCCCGTGACGTCATCGCACTGGACAGCGCACACGACGCCCGGCAAAACGTTGCCCTGTCCTCCGCAGCTCCGGTCGTCTGGAATTCACGCCGCCCTCCGCTCTCACTGCCCCCAGGCGCACACCGGCATCGCTGTCGCCCTACTCTCAGATTCCGAAGACTTCTTTTTGTCGTCGTTCTTGAATGTATTCTCCAGTGCGCTAATAAATGTTCTTTTTGTTAGTTCAAGCTATGCACGTGATGACTTTTAATAACGAATGAATGAATGTGCACGCGCGGCATACTGACCGACGCACGCATACTTCATTAGCCCCGCCCCTGGCCCTGCTTGGCTGCCCCTGAGCAGCCAGATTCAGAGTTTGTGCGAGGCCAGAAAATCGTGATTGGGGTCGTGGCTCAGCTCGGCAACCAGCCAGTGGGAAAACAAGCCGTCCGCACGGCGAAGAAGGCCCTACGCTGGCTCGGTCCGGACATGCCAGGGCTGGTTGTTGTTGTAATTACTGGGGAAACGTCACACAGTGCTCGAATTGTTTTATATAATTGTGTAGTTTACTCTCCAACACGCACCGGGTGTGTGCTGGACTAGTAACTAATTATTGGCAAGTTTTGTTTTACGTGACAAACATTACTAATTGGCTGTGTCGGGCGGTGGCAGGTTTAACGACACATTTATATTGACGCGATCTAACCCAAAAAAAACCCCTCTATAATGGTCAGAGAGAGGCATTACGTCACGTGACGCCGTGCCGCCCGCTTGCCAGGGCCCTGAGTTTGCTGCTGATCGTTGTGGACCTGGCCCTGGTCGTGGCCGACCTCTCGACCCCCGCGAAACCCGCCGTGGCTTCCCGTGCCCTCTCCGCCTCCTCGCTCGCCATCTCCGTCTTCTTCTTCGTCGACGTCGCCCTCCGCGTCTTCGTTTCGGGGTTCGTGAGCGCCGCCCGTCGCCTTTCCTCGCCCTTCTCATCGAACTCGTTGTCTTAAAAAAAAATCGATAATAGTAACGTTAGTCATTAACGAGTTACGTTGGATCTAGATTTGAAGTTTTCGTGACTGCAGGGATCCATACTCTTTGGTTCTTTCAGTAAAGTCACGTAGGTATAAAATCAAATAAATTAAATCATGATTTAATTTATATTCTTGGTTTTTTCGGTAAAGTCACGTAGAAGGGAAATAAAAAAAGAATACAAATATAATAATACAAATATATCTTTTTATTATTTTATTATTTCCCTTCTACGTGACTTTACCGAAAGAACCACGAATATGAATCCCTGCAGTCACGAAAGCTTTAAATCAAACTATGATTTAATTTATTTAATTTTATACCTACGTGACTTTACCGAGAGTTAAGTTGGACGCATTCTAAAGATGCTACGCAATGCGATTGTGTTCAGACGCGCGTGTAAGGAGGGGAGGCGATGAAGGCGACTTGTGGGACACCGCATCACCAACGTACATGAGATGCGTGGCCCTCTCTGGTTACGTGGGGGAGCGGTAGTGCAGTAGCGGTAGTGCAGTAGCGGTAGTGCAGCAGCGGTCAGCACGCCGCGCTACGCACCCGGCGACCCGAGTTCCATTCCGCTCGGTCGATTCAACCTCAAATGAGTACCTGGTGCGGCGTGGAAACATCGCCACTGGGGAGACAAAGGCGGCAGTACGTGGTGCTGGCCACCCACCCCCTCGTGTGCCGTGCCGGCCTTCGTAAGTGCTCACTTAACAACACTTGCCCCTACAGTCTCTGGTTACATACTCGTGCAATAATCACCCTAAATCTGTTTTGATGTTTCTGTCTGTTGAATTTGACTACGAACGTTTTTTTTCAAGTTCATTTGTCCGAGCCAACGTATGCCGCAGGAAATTTGTGAATTTCTTCACGTGACGTTGTTTGTTATTTTCCTGTGCTTCGTTTTTTTATGCCATCGATTTTTTTGTTTGGACGTGAACGAGTGGGGCGATTGTTCCGCCCATTTTCAGATTCAGGTCGTATTTCCGGGAGAGGCTGAACATCGCCGATGCGGGCATCGTCATGATCACCCTCATCGTCTCCATCGTGTACACGTCCATCGACCTCTCCGGGACGGCTCTACTACCCCGGTAAAGATCCACCCCCGCCGGCGTAGCCTGCACTGCCCGTCGGGGGGAAGTGCTGTTCGCGAGCACCTGTGAAGGCCGGCCAACTCTGCGCACGAGGGGGCGTTGTTGCTAGGGCCACTCCCGGCCGCCTTTGTCTCCACAGTGGTTATTTTTTACGCACCGGCCCGAGGTATTCATTTGAGGCTGAGTCGACCTAGGAGGAGGTCCAGCACCGGGTTAAGAAATTCTTCGCTGATGTTGGCGGTGGGCGGGCGACCGAATAGGGTCGCCGGGCTTGTAGCGCAGCGCGCTAATCACTGCACTACCTCACCCATCAATCCGTGTGGCTCATGTCGCATGCATGACCTCCTATCAGCGAGACTTCCACACTTCACATGCCAGCCCCTGAGTGCACCTAGCCTGGCACGAGCGCTGCGGTAACATCACTGTTCCTTAGTGGACAATGATTTTTGTTCTTGTTTTCTGTGTGGGGAGTGGTGGCGCAGTGGTTAGCAAGCTGCACTACGAATCCGTTGACCCGAGTGCGATTCCAGCTCACGACCAATAACAGTGGCGGATATTTGAACCGTTCCTGGTGGGCCTATCCTAGGTCGACTCAGCCTCAAATTAGTACCTGGTGCGGTGTGTAAACATCGTCACTGGCGAGACAAAGGCGGTCGGGCGTGGTGCTGGCCACCCACCCCTTCATGTACCGTTCCGGCCTTCATAGGTGCTCGCTAACAGCACTTGCCCCGACAGTCTATGAAGGCTATACGAGTGATCTTTGTCTTTGTTGCGTCTGTGCACGCTTCTGTGCACGTGTGTGTGTTGATGTGTGTGCAGGCTGGTCAGTCAGTTAATCCATGGCACCTGGGTCTGTCCCATGACCTCCTGCCAGCGGTCGTTCGACACTTCACGTGGCCTTAAAGTGCACTTGGCCTGGCACAAGCGCCGTGGTGACGTGACTGCCACTTAGTGGCGAATGGCGGTTGTTGTTGCAGGCTGGTGAGCGTGCTGCGCGTGCTGCGCTTGATTATGATCATTCGTGTCTGGCGCCTCGTATCCCAGAGGCATCACCTGGAGAAGGCATCTCGACAGATGGTGAGCACTCGCCCACCAGCTCCGGATGTTTACAGTTTCGGATTTATCATAAAGCACACACTTCGGATCTGTCTTGGATTTTTGGATGCCTTCCTCGGATGTCCCCAACTGCGGACGTCGCGACGATGCCACGTTAGTGCCGCCGCCTTTGACGGTGTCAGCGCGAGGCCACGTCATTGACGTCACCACTTAGTTTTTGGATCCGAGATGTCTTTATATACAGGAGCTCCTCAACTTACGAACATTCGACTTACGACCTTTCAGAGATACGAACAAACCTGGTCCGTATGTCCAGTTGCCTGTTCGGACCGAGAGTCGTAAGTTCAACCGCCGCGCAATAGATGGCGGTGGTGGCATCTACATCTGTAGAACGTCAAGAACCAGTGGCATCTACATCTGCAGAACGTGAAGAACCAGTGGCATCTACATCTGCAGAACCTGAAGAACCAGTGGTATCTACATCTGAAGAACGTGAAGAACCAGTGGTATCTACATCTGCAGAACGTGAAGAACCAGTGGCATCTACATCTGCAGAACGTGAAGAACCAGTGGCATCTACATCTGCAGAACCAGTGGCATCTACATCTGAAGAACGTGAAGAACCAGTGGCATCTACATCTGCAGTACGTGAAGAACCAGTGGCATCTACATCTGCAGAACGTAAAGAACCAGTTGCATCTGCAGAACGTGAAGAACCAGTGGCATCTACATCTACAGAACATGAATAACCAGTGGCATCTACATTTGCAGAACGTGAAGAACCAGTGGCATCGACATCTGCAGAACGTGAAGAACCAGTGGCATCTACATCTGCAGAACGTGAAGAACCAGTGGCATCTACATCTGCAGAACATGAAGAACCAGTGGCATCTCCATCTGCGGAATATGAAGAACCAGTGACATCTACATCTGCAGAACATGAAGAACCAGTGGCATCTACATCTGCAGATGATTCAACTTGTAAAGCCATTCCCCGTGTTTAGTGTACACGCCGTACAACATGTTTGGAATCGACAGAAGTAAAGTTGGATTTAGGGACAAATCGACTTATGAACAGACCACTGGAACCTAACTCGTTCGTAAGTAGAGGAGTCCCTGTATACAGAGATAGGAGGTCTCATTATTACACACAGACAAAGATTCCCCGTGTAGCCTCAACAGACTGTTGAGACAAGTGCTGTTAGCGAGCACCTATGAGGGCCAGCATGGCATACGAGGCGGTGGGTTTTGGCCAACACCACGCCCAGCCACCTTTGTCTCCCCAGTGGCGATGTTTACACACTGCACCAGGTACTCATTTGAGACTGAGTCGACCTCGGAGAGGTCCAAGACCCGTTCAGATAATCGACACTGATGTTGGCCGTGAGCAGGTTCGTAGTGCAGCACGCTAACCGCTACTACACTGCCGCTCCCCCCACACACACAAAGATGAACAGAATCACGAATGCAAACACAACACAATACGCGCACACACATGGACGCACGCACGCGCCAACGAGTTGTTTAAACGGTACGTTTCCGTTTCTGTCCGCATCTCAGGTTTCTCAAAACAAGCGACGGTACCGGAAGGATGGGTTTGACCTTGATCTCACCTATGTGACAGGTGCGTTGGTGAAAACGATCTGGACACGGTCCCCCGTTTGCGAGCTCCTCCGGCAACAGGCGAGGCTGCGTTGGCTGCCCAGCCACCGCATGCCCAAGCAGCTTCTGTTTGGCAGAATAGGGGGGGCTAAAAGGGTGTTGCACAGGCTACAGAAAAGATGGATTAATGTTGCACAGAAGGTTGTGGAGCTGAGTGGACTTGCCGATGACTGGTACCAGCGGTGTCAAGATCGGCCTCTGTGGAGGAGGCTCGTGAAGGACGCTACTGGGCAGTTGGAGGAAGTTGCCCTCCAATAAAAATGGAGGGTGGAGGAGTGATCGATTAGTGAGCGGAGTGCCGGTCGGCTATAACGCAGCACGTTCGCACAGTGGGAAGGCGCAGGTGGTGCATCTGCCAGTCGACCCATAACACCTGGGTCTGTCCCATAACCTCCTGCCAGAGAATCTTCCACATATCAAGTGGCCTTCAAGTGCACCGAGCCTGGCATAGGTGCTGTGGTGACATCACTGCCAGTGGTGGTACAGTGGTTTGCACATTGCGCTATTAACCCAATAGTCCGATTCTAATTTACAGCCACGGGTTAACATCGGTGGCGAATATCTGAACTGGTCCTGAGCCTCGCTTAGGTCGACCCAGCCCTAAATGACGACCTGGTGCGGTGTGTAAGCACTGGGGAAACTAAATGAGGCCGGGCGTGGTGCTGGCCACTCACTCCTCAGGGATGCTCTGTGCCATCATTCGTAGGTGCTGCTCGCTAAGAGCGCTTGCCCCATCGCTCTGTGATGGCAATGCGGAGGGATCGTTGACTTCTGCGTGTGTGTGTGTGTGCGTGACGGCGAACGTTTCACAGAGCGTGTGATCGCGATGTCGTTCCCCTCCTCTGGAACCCAGTCCATGTACCGCAACCCCATCAAGGTGAGCAGACATCACCGCCACCAGCAGCAGCAGCACCACCCGGCTCTGGGTGCACACCGACACTCGAATCATAAAGGACGCGCTTAGATGTTCGCGTGCTCTCGGCGCGAGGAGGACGAGGTGTCGTGATGACGTGCCCATTGTCATCGATCCTCTTGGTTATCCCCCACTCCCCAAAATGGGTTTCATATCAAATCACAAAATAGCATAAGAATAGGTTTTCCCCTTTCTGGCAGTAAAACAGTTGTGTTAAGATGTTAACGCACCAAAATGAAACCTTTTGCAAGGAATCATGTCTGCATTAACCACAGATACTTGTGGTGAAAATACAAACACAAAACATGCTCTGACAGTATATGATGCATTGTCTTTGAAACTGATTGGTCCACACCAGAGACAGCTTTCTTTAGAGCCTCGTCTCAAACATTGTTAGACCAGAGAACGCCAAAATGTGAACAGCACAAAGACAATGCCACTATTCTATTCTTATATTTTTACACTGGCAAAGGTAGCTGCTGTAGCTGCTAACCCCGAGCCCTCAATGTCCTGATTGTGGCATTGTCTTTGTGCTGGTCGCCTTTTGGCGATGTCCTCTGGCCTAACACTGTTTGAGACGAGGCTCTAAAGAAAGCTGTCTCTGGTGTGGACCAATCAGTTTCAAAGACAATGCATACATTATCAGAGTATTGTTTTTTGTTTGCATTTGACTGCAAGTATTGTGGTTAATGTAAGCATGATTCCTTGCAAAAGGTGTCAGTTTTGTTGCCAGAAAAAAGTGGAAAACCCCTATTAGTATATTTTGGTACTGGCAAAGGAGATCCCATGATGTAGCTGCTCACCCCGAGCTCTCATTACTCTGGTAGTGCGTTGTCTTTGAACTGTGCGCCTTTTGGCGTCATCTGGTCGAACACCATATGAGACTAGGCTCCAAAGAAAGCTGTCTCTGGTGTGGACCAATCAGTTTCAAGGACGATGCATAAATCAGGGTGGGGGCCGTCCCTGGGACCGCGACGCCACAACGCATCTTGCTCAAGCCCCCCTACTCGCTGTTTTTCGTCTCTCACCTGCGATTCATTCTCCCACCTGTGATTCCTCTCTCACCTGTGATTCCTCTCTCACCTGTGATTCCTCTCTCACCTGTGATTCCTCTCTCACCCTCAATCCTTCTCCCACACGCCGCGTGTCCCTCCCGCTTCTGCCCATCTCGCGTGGATTCTTTTCCACCGGGTCCTCCGTTTTTTTCCCCTCCACATTTAGAAACACGCATTGAGATTATTTTGGTGCTGTAAAAGTCCAAATGATGGGCCACTTTGTTGAGCTATCATTTGTGGCCAGGACGCTTCTGAAAAAATAAGTTGCTTGCCTGATAGGATGGGAATTGTTTAGTTTTGTATTTATATGTGTTTGGGTAATTTTTTTCCCTTGTACTTTGCACTACTATGATATATTTTTGTATTGTTTGTTGCTGTAACGTTCTTAGCCGGCCCACGTGGACATCTGTGAAAAAGAGCTTTGGAGCTCATCGGATTTCTCCAGTATAAATAAATATTCCGATTACGACTCTCTCTCTCTCGCTCTCTCGCTCTCTCCCTGTGTGTGTGGAGCTCGCGGGACGCTGTAACCGTTGGGGGTTTCTGCGCGCGTGCGTGGCTTCTTTGCGCGTTATTAGTTTGCAGCTTTGGACGTTGCGGGGAAGGGTTGGGGGGGGCATGGTGCTGCAGCGCTAGCCTGAGCGTGACGAAATGGGCCCGAAATTTGCTGTTAATTAGAAAAAAATATTATTGCGTTACAACAGAGAGTCATGTTCGTTGCTGGGCTGGCAGACATATGATGGGTTTAGCGACTATCATGCCTGTCAACCCATATGGTTTACCCGTATTCTTGTACAGGGAAATTGCGTTTTCAGGGCCATACGGCATACAGCCGTTTCAATACGAGCAAAATTAGATTTTCTTTGTCTATTTGTTTGTGTTTCTCCCTTGTGATGGGACTTTGTAGGATGAACGTTGAGATTTAAAGGGGTGCGTGGTGACCAATAAGGTCTCAATTGGTCTGTAATAAGGTAGGGCACTGGTAAGGGGTTGACAGGGATGCGACTTTATTTATTTAAAGCAACCAAAGAGTGGCCCTAACAGTTGGGGCGGCCGTGAGGGGATGAGGAGTCAACAATTGGGCCGTGAGCTCTTTGAAAACACAAAGGGACAAAGAGCTCCCCCAGCAGCAGAGATGAGAGAGAGAGAGGAAGGGGGGGGGGCTAGGGAGGGGGGGACAGGTCCTGTGCAATTTGAGATGGGGGGTGGGGGTTGTTGTTGTTGTAAAATCGGTGCCGGTCACAATCGGTGGTCATGGTGGATGGATGCGATGCTGCTACGCCGTGCGTGCGTTTCTCTCTCTCACGTGTGTGTGTGTCATCGTAGGAAGTGCAGCGGTTCTTGAATTCAAAACACATGGACCACTACAAAGTCTACAACCTGTGCAGTAAGTCACTCGGCTGCGGCCGGGGACACAGCCACACGCAGAGCATCATCAACCCACACCTAACCCTCTCCCCCGCGGATCAACACAGCGAGTGCATCGCCTGCGTGATGCGACCGCAATGATACGTCGCAATGATGTGCGCATCGGCCCATTGATGTTCTTATGCGGCTGATGGCCACGTTGGTTGTCTTTGGGGAGGAGGAAGAAGAGGAGGAGGGACGTCAGAGAATGTGTGATGATGTTTGTGTCTCGAACAAGCTGTTTTAGATGCACGTCCGCGGTTTGTTCCATTCTGTTCACCAGCAGCAGCATTCCTCCAGATCTGGGTGAGCGTCTAGGATGGTGACAGCAGAATGGGGATCGGCACTCATTTGGGTCGAATCGTGATGTGCACTGTTGAGGTTTTGGCTGATGGGTATGTGGTTATCGTGGTGGTGATGGTGGTGATGATAACGAGCATTGCCACCGCCCACAGGTGAGAAGGGCTACGACGCCAAGTACTTCCACTACCGCGTGGACCGCGTCTTCATCGACGACCACAACGTCCCGTCACTCGCGTGAGTGTCCCCGCGGCGCGGTCCAAACTCCTCGCTGCCGCGTCTCTCCATCGCTCCATCGGTGCGCTTTGCCGAGCCTTCTTGAGCCGCTACTCTCTCACGAGCACTTGCCCCAGCGGCCTGCGTGGGCCTACACGGGTGATCCTATCCCTGCGTGAGCGTGCAGGGACATGGTGAGGTTCACTGCCAGCGTTCGGGACTGGATGGCCCAAGATCCCAAGAACATCATCGCCGTCCACTGCAAAGGGGGCAAAGGTGCGAGCACTCGCGCGTCCCGTGGGCTCGCTCACTCGCGGGTGGGAGGTTGCGTGCGTGTGCGTGCGTACGTGCGTGTGTGCGTGCGTGTGTGATGGGAGCGGTAGAGTAGTCGCGGTTAGCGTGCTGCACTAGGAACCAGACTACCAGAGTTCGATTCCCGCTCACGGCCAACAACAGTGACGATTATCTGAACCGATCCTGGGCTTGCCCTAGGTCGACTCAGCCTCATATGAGTACCTGGTGCGATGTGTGAGCATCGCCACTAGGGAGACAAAGGTGGCCGGGCGTGGTGCTGGCCACTCCACCCCCTCGTGTGCCGTGACAACCATCATAGGTGCTCGCTAACAGCACTTGCCCCAACAGCCTGTTAAAAGGCTATACGGGGGATTTTCGTCTTTGCATATCTGTGCTGTGGGTCTGCTTATCTGTGCGAGTGCGGTGTTTTTTTGTGCATATTTGGGGAGCGGTGGTGTGGTGGTTTGCACACTCCTCAACGAACCCAAGGGACCTGTGTGTCCGTGTGCATGTGTCCGCGTGTGTGTGTGTGTCCGCGTGTGCGCGTGTCTGCGTGTGCGTGTATCCACGTGTGTGCACGAGTTTGCATGTGTGCCTGTGCGTCGACGTGTGTGTCCGCGTGTGTCCGCACGTGTGCGCGTTTGCACGCGTGTGCGCAGGTCGCACGGGCACCATGATTTGCACCTGGCTGATCGACAGCGACGAGTTTGAGGGAGCCCAGGTAGCCCTGAGCGTGAGACGCACAACCCCCACCCACACAGCACCATGGCGAGAAGTTCCTGGGTTCGATTCCTGACTCGGGCGCCTTACTGTGTGGCATTTGTATGTTCTCCTCCTGTTCTGTAGAGTGTGAGAGAGTGAGAGAAAGAGTGTGAGAGAGTGAGCGTGTGAGAGAGTGTGCGTTACGTGTGTTTATTGTGCATTGTGGTTTTTTTTGTCCGTTTATCATCATTTCAGTTAATTTTTTTTGTTCACTATGCTATTTAATTTTTACTCAATATAAAGCAATCATAGAAAACCACCGCGTGTGCATTACAACACCTACATGTGCAGCACCAATGGACACCCCGTGCCCCTAGTCCCCCACCAACAAAACCCAGGTCCCGTGTTCGTTAAGAGCGCAAATCGGAAATCCAGTTTGAGCCTCGCTTGCTCGACAACCTGGAAGAGCTGCAAGGTTCCCAGCGTCGTGCCCGCATTTTCCACCGCCTGCTGACTGGCTCTGCATTGTGTGTGTGTGTATATGTATGTGTGCTGTGTGTGTATAGTGCATTGTGTGTATGTAGTGCATTGTGTGTGTGTGTATATGGGTGTGCACGCGCTGTGTGTGTGTAGAGGTGTAATTGCGCATGTCTACGAATGTTGAGGTGTGATTATGCATGGCCACGGATGGCCAACAAACACAAGGGGCGGGGCTTACGGCCGTACACAAGGGTGGCGCTCGCACCGACGTCCGCATGTGTATCCCCCACGGGCCCCCCCTTGGGGGCAAGTCCTATAAAAGGTGATGAGCCGAAAGGCTCGGGAGTCGGGACTCAGCTATAACCAGAGAAGACGGAAGACCTGCTAGTGTAGGCCCCAGAGCTCCCCTGGCTCGCTGTCCTTATAAGGGCCGACCAGGGCAAGCCGGTGGTGTGGCCCCGAGAGCCCAGACGAAGCTGGTCTGGTGACTCAGGGAGCCGGGATCCCAGCTTAACCAAGCTGGGACAGATAGCCTCCCCTAGTCCCGTAGTGGAGGAATTGGTATAGGTTAGAGGGGTTAGCTGTCGAGAAATCCCTGTAGCCCAGTGACCTGTAAATAACTGTGTTGGTGTAATAAATAAGTGTGCCTCCGATCCTGTCGTCAAGCCTCCATATACTTACTACATCTGGTGTCAGAAGTAAAACGTCCAAACGATGGACACATGAGGGACGACACGTACCAAGGAGTCGGAGATGGAAGACGCCGCGGCCGATTCAACACCAGAGATGGCCGGGGTCGGATCGGAGCAGCCGGGGCCAAGTACGCCCGCGCCGCTACGACAAGAGGGGGGGGATGCGTCGGCTGAAGGACTCCGGCTGGCCCACTCCCGCCTGGCGGAACTGCTCTACGCCGCCGCCGCTGCGTTGGAGGAGATCACGCGGCTGGGAGCTGGAGGGGCAGCGCGGGTCGACGACAGCAGCCGGCGCGCGGCGACGTTTCCCGCCACCCCGACGCGGCTGGCGGTTACATTTCCCGCCATCTCTACAGTGCGAGCGGACGGCGGGGCCGGCCCGCGTCACGTGACTGCTGAGCGCCAAGCACAAGCCGTGACATCATCAACACCGGCCGGCGCGTCAACATCGGAGCGACCGGCGATGCCATGTGCACAGCCCGCCCACACTGTATCATCGGCGGGGAGCGACGGAGAGCGATCTACAGCCACGGACGTCGCCTTGCAGCAGCGTCTGCCGCCTCTGAAAGAATTCGTAGGCGCAGACGGAGACTGGGGCGGCTTCAAGAGACGGTTCATCGCTCATCAGGAGATGGCGAACTGGACGGACGCCGAGGCTCTACGCGCGCTGCCAGCGATGCTGGACAACGACGCCCTGGCTACCCTCACCTCGGCGCCGAGGGAAAAGCGCGCCACCCTACACCTGGTGTTGCAGCTGCTGTCAGCCGTCTATGGGCCGCCTTCGGACTGCAGGCAGCTTTTCCACGATCGGCGTCGGGGCACCAACGAATCACCTCTGGCCTTCCGGACTGCTCTCCTGGCTCTAGCGAAGGCTGCTTTCCCAAGGATGGACGAGGAAGGAGTGGATGCCATGGTGGCTGAGAAGCTGCTGCTACTCGCTGATGAGCTGGACGTCAACGTCCTGGCTCAAGACGACGCAGAGATGTCGTCCCTGCTGGTCGCGCGCCACATCCACGGGGGCTTGCGGTCCCTTCGTCGAAAGGCGGCAAAGGGGGCGGCCAGCCATGCCATGGCGGCTACCGCCCTCCCATCGGAGGAGGTCTGCGGGGTGGAGCGGCGAGGGGAATGGAGAGCGGCAGCACCACAGGCTCGGAATGGACCGAGCCGCCAGGAGCAGCCCAGGACATCGGGGGCGCTCACACGCTGCTACAACTGTGGCCTGCAAGGCCACGTTGCGTCAGGATGCCGGGCTCCCCGTCAGCGCGGGGCGACACCTCGTCAGGACACCACGCCGTCTCCTCCCAAGCTCCAGCAGAGAAATACGGCGAGTCGCGGCACCTCACACGTTTGGCCCACGCACACATCCGACACACACTCACGCGCCCAACTAAACAGGGCTCCAAATTCCCCATCCGTCGCGCGCGATTGTTCGGTAATGCGGCGGGCGCTCCAACCGGGTCAGTGGTCGGAGCTCGCCCATCGTGTCGTTGCTGCATCGGCGGGATCATCGGTCGTGGTCGGTCACATTGATGGGGTAGAGGTGCGGATTTTAATTGACACAGGGGCATCGGCGACCATTATATCTGATTTAATTTATAACATCCTTCCCGTTCAAAGTCGTCCCTTGCTCCCTGTTGATGTGCCGTGCTATGCCGCTAACGGGGGCTCTCTGGGCATTATTGGCCAAATCCGCGCCACTATCTGCATTGGGGACATTAAATTATCCGGGCCTGTTTTGGTTTCCTCCTCACTCGCGGTTCCGTGCCTGTTGGGGACGGATTTTCTGGCCAAAATGCCCATCCGCATCCTTATTGACCAAGGGTGCATTGAGCTCCCATCGGGCCGACGCGTTACATTTCTGTCTTCCCCCACCACGGAGCGTCGGGCGTTTGCCACCGTGCAGGCGCTCGTCACAAAAACTGTGCGCGTGCCTCCGGGGGCTCAGATGCTCGTCCCTCTTAGGTTGCGTCGGCCGTTTAATGAAGGGGTTGCGGATCGGGGGGTCTTGTTGGGACCATCTCGGGCCGGGGTAAATGGACCAGATTTGCTCGCGGCTCAGACCATGGTGAGAGGGGATGGGGACCCCTTCATTGCAGTCCTTAATGTGGGATCGCGAACGGCCGTGGTTCCTCAAGGGACCGTGCTTGCACACGCAACGCCGGTACCCTATGAGGAACCACTCGTGGGTCAGGTATCCACCGATCCTCCGTCGCGACCGCATTCGGACTGTGATGACGGATGGCTGGATGCGCTTTGCGCGGGTTCAGTGGACCTGTCCGACTCGCAGCGCGCGCAGCTGCGAGTTCTTCTGAGCGAATTTGCTGACGTTTTTAGTCAACACAAATTTGATATTGGTTGTACTAAATTGCTGCGACACCATATTGACACGGGTGACAGCGCGCCAATCCGCCAAAATCCCTTTCGGTTGAGTCCCGCCGAAAAGGATCATGTCAAATCGGCTGTTGATGACATGCTAGCCGCCGATATCATTTCCCCTTCCAATAGCCCGTGGGGCGCGCCGATCGTTTTGGTGAAAAAACACGACGGCTCACTGCGGTTTTGTGTCGACTTTCGGCGTCTGAACAAAATCTCTGTGGTAGATGCGTACCCGCTTCCTCGAATGGATGAGTCGCTCGATGCCTTGGCGGGGGCGCGATTCTTTTCCACCCTCGATTTGCTATCTGGATTCTGGCAGCTTCCTCTGGATGACGAATCAAAACCTAAGACTGCTTTTCGGACACCGCAAGGTCTCTTCCAATTTAACCGCTTGCCGATGGGTTTACATTCTGCGCCGGCAACTTTTCAGCGGTTAATGGAATTGGTCTTGGCAGGGTTGCAATGGGATTCGTGTTTGATTTACTTAGACGATGTCATCGTCTTTAGCAAATCCTTCGAGGAACACCTCCAGAGGTTGCGTGCTGTTTTTCTCAAAATGCGGGCTGCCAATTTGAAATTTAAACCACAGAAGTGCCATTTACTCCGCGAATCGGTGCGATATTTGGGTCACATTGTTGGGCGCTCGGGGATATCCACTGATCCCGCCAAAACGGAATGCGTCAGCTCCTGGCCGACTCCCACCTCGGTGGGAGAGGTCAGGAGTTTCATTGGGTTCGCGTCGTATTATCGGCGATTTGTGGCTGACTTCGCTACGATTGCGAAACCTTTGCATGCCTTGACGTCCAAGGGAGTCAGGTTTCATTGGGGGCCGGAGGAGGAGGCTTCTTTTCGCGCCCTCCGGAATGCTTTGGTGGGGGCTCCGCCGTTGAATTACCCGGATTTTTCACAACCCTTCTTGCTCGATACAGATGCAAGTAACACGGGCATCGGGGGCGTGCTGTCCCAGCTCATTGGGGGCGTAGAGCATGTGGTGGCTTACGGTAGTCGGGTACTGTCTCCAGCCGAACAGCGGTACTGCGTTACCCGTCGGGAATTATTGGCGATTGTTTATTTCATTCAGCAGTACCGCCCGTATCTGTACGGTCGGCGGTTCACCGTCCGTACAGATCATGCGGCCCTACAATACGCCCTGCGGGTTCAACAACCATCGGGCCAGTTGTCTCGATGGTTGGAGATTCTCCAAGACTATGACTTTGTCACCACATATCGTAAGGGTCTCCGCCACACGAACGCTGACGCCCTGTCGCGATTGCCACCCACTTCGGAGTGCGCGTGCCTCTTGGGTTCGGGGCGTTGTAGGTCTCCGAACGTCACCACCGATTCGGTCCTCGTGGCCGCTGCCGATGCGCCTTCGGTTTCGGGTCCTATCGAGCAAGAAGGGAGGGATTCGTTGCTGGGGTTGTCGGTCGCGGAATGGGGTCGCCTCCAAATGGAGGACACCTCCCTCCTCGCTCTGCGCCGTCGCGCCGGGGGGGTTGGCCAGGGGGTGAAAAACGTTGACTCGTGGGGGTTGTTCCAGGGACTTTTAATGCACTGGGATGGTAAAACCCGGCGCCAGCGGCTCGTGGTGCCTGCTGCTTTAAGGGGTAAGGTGGTATGGGCTGTTCATGAGCGGCTTCTGCACTTGGGGGTTCATAAGACCTTTGCCACGCTCCAGCTAGATTTCTTCTGGCCGGGCATGGAAAAGGACGTGGGGGATCTCTTGGGGTCGTGCACGCAATGCGCGCAGAGGAAGCCACCTGCTAGGGGGTCCAACCCTCCGCTGCAGTCCATAAAAGTTTCCAGGGTTAACGAGCTCGTCGCTCTGGACATACTTGGCCCATTTCCCGCTACACCCAGGGGCAATAGGTATTTACTAACGGGGGTTGAATACTTCACGAGATGGCCTATGGTCTGGCCCCTGGCGAACCAGTCGGCAGCAGCCATCGCGGAGGCCTTTGTCCAGGGCTATGTCCTCGACAAGGGTGCTCCGGAACGGCTGCTTACTGACCAGGGTAGGAATTTTTCTGGTAAACTCCTACGTGAGGTGTGCGACCTCTTGGGTACGGAGAAGGTTCGGACCTCTCCGTATCACCCACAAACTGACGGGATGGTGGAACGGCTGCATCGGACCATCACGTCCATGCTGTCCCAGCAGGTGTCGGTATCCCAGACGGATTGGGACCTCCGCATAGCCGGTGTGTTGCAGGCCTACAGAATGGCTCCCCATGCGGCCACCGGATTTTCCCCTTTCTTTTTAATGTATGGGCGCGAAGTTAACCCTCCTGTGGCGACCCAGCTGAAGCTCTCGGTGCTCCAGGCGAAGTCTAATTTGTCCGAACACGTTAAATTTAACATCGCTCAATTGTCTGAGGCGCGGGAAGCGGCCGTGCAAAATTCTGAACTCCGCCAGAAGGCGAACGAGAGGCTTCGGTTGGGGCGGGTGCAGGTGGTCAAATGGGTACCAGGGGACAGGGCGTGGTTGCACTGTCCTCAGGTGCCGCTGGCAACCTCGTCGAAATTGGTACGGCCGTGGCGGGGGCCAGTGGAGGTCGTGCAGGTTTTGCGGCCGCAATGTGTTCGCGTCAAATGAGGGAGGCGCCGGTGGTATGTGCACCCCTCAAGGTTAAAACCATTCGTCACGCCGCCCCGGGGTTCACACACACACACGCATGGCCAAACGTGTGAGGGTGTCGCCGACTCCCCGTCGTCGCTGCACTCGCCTAACCTGACGCCAACTGTTCCGTCCCCAGGTGAAACAGGAGTGACGGGCCCACGCCCACCAACCCCTCCCGGAGGGGTCGGGGGTCACTCGGCAGCGAAGCCTGACCCTCTTGCACCCGGACCGTCAACAACCGTCACTGAGCGTGCCGGGACGGGCCCTTGTGACGGACCCGCCGCGAGAACGCGCGCCAAAACGCGCAGACTTTTGTGAGGTCGGCCGTTGGGGGGCCTTGCGGACAAAAGGGGAGGGGTGTTGTGAGGTCGGCCGTTGGGGGGCCTTGCGGACGATGGGAAAGGTGGCGTCCGGAGTGTATATATATGTTGGTTTTGGGGTGTTATCCGGGGGGGGGGAGCGTCGGGTTATTTTTTTTCTCTCTCTCTCTCTTCCTCTCGTTGTTCTTGTTAAAGTTTTCTTGTTCTTGTTAAAAATTACGCGAGGCACACACACGGGGTTTTTGTGAGGGATGCACCTTTATTCTGATTTTTTTTTTTGCAGCCGGGGACGGCTGCGAGCTGTACAGGGGGGGGTGATGTAGAGGTGTAATTGCGCATGTCTACGAATGTTGAGGTGTGATTATGCATGGCCACGGATGGCCAACAAACACAAGGGGCGGGGTTACGGCCGTACACAAGGGTGGCGCTCGCACCGACGTCCGCATGTGTATCCCCCACGGGCCCCCCCTTGGGGGCAAGTCCTATAAAAGGTGATGAGCCGAAAGGCTCGGGAGTCGGGACTCAGCTATAACCAGAGAAGACGGAAGACCTGCTAGTGTAGGCCCCAGAGCTCCCCTGGCTCGCTGTCCTTATAAGGGCCGACCAGGGCAAGCCGGTGGTGTGGCCCCGAGAGCCCAGACGAAGCTGGTCTGGTGACTCAGGGAGCCGGGATCCCAGCTTAACCAAGCTGGGACAGATAGCCTCCCCTAGTCCCGTAGTGGAGGAATTGGTATAGGTTAGAGGGGTTAGCTGTCGAGAAATCCCTGTAGCCCAGTGACCTGTAAATAACTGTGTTGGTGTAATAAATAAGTGTGCCTCCGATCCTGTCGTCAAGCCTCCATATACTTACTACATGTGTATAGTGCATTGTGTGTGTGTGCATTTAGGTGTGCACGTGCTGTGTGTGTATAGTGCATTGTGTGTGTGTGTTTATGGGGGTGTGTGTGCTGTACATGTATAGTGGATTGTGTGTGTAGTGCATTGGGTGTGTGTGTGTATATATAGTGCACTGTGTGTGTGTGTACAGTGCATTGTGTGTGTGTGTGTGTTTTGTGTGTGTCGTAAACATCGCCACTAAGGAGACAAAGGCGGCCGGGCGTGGTGCTGGCCACCCACCCCCTCGTGTGCCGTGCCAGCCTTCATAGGTGCTCGCTAACAGCACTTGCCCCAACAGTCTGTTACTGCTATACGGAGGATCTTTGTCTTTGTTGTGTTTGTGTGTGTGTGTGCATTGTGTGTTTGGGTATTGTGTAGTTGGCACAGTAGAGGTCACAGGTGGTGCATCGGCCAGTAGTCATCTCAGTCAGTCGACCCGTGGCACCTGGGTCTTTCCCGTGACCTCCTGCCAGCGGGCGTTCGACACTTCACGTGGCCTTAAAGTGCACTTGGCCTGGCACAAGCGCCGTGGTGACGTCACCGCCACTTAGTTGCGAATGGCGGTTGTTGTATTGTGTGTGTGTGCATTGTCTGTGTGTTTTGGTGTTGTGTGTATTGTGTGTGTTTGGGTGTTGTGTGTGTGTGTGTTGGGTGTGTTTTCGGTGTTGTGTGTTGGGGTGTTGTATGTGTGCGTTGTGTGTGTGTTTGGGTATTGTGTGTTTGTTTGTGTGTTGTGCGTGTTTTAGGTGTTGTGTATTTGGGTGTTGTGTGTGTATTTTGTGTGTTTGGGTATTGTGTGTTTGTTTGGGTGTTGTGTGTGTTATTTTGTGTGTTTGGGTGTTGTGTGTTTTAGGTGTTGTCTATTTGGGTGTTGTGTGTGTGTGTGTATTGTGTGTGTTTGGGTATTGAGTGTGTATTTTGTGTGTTTGGGTATTGTGTGTTTGTTTGTGTGTTTGTGTTGTGTGTTTTAGGTGTTGTGTGTGTTTCAGGTGTTGTGTGTTTGGGTGTTGTGTATTTGGGTATTGAGTGTGTGTATTTTGTGTGTTTGGGTGCTGTGTGTGTGTTTTGTGTGTCTGCGCGGCGCACGCAGGCGAGTCTGGATTACTTTGGCGAGCGCCGCACGGACAGAACGAAGAGCGTCAAGTTCCAGGGCGTGGAGACTCCGTCCCAGGTTTACACGAACACAGAGTACACGGCACAAAACCCACAGTGCGTGCGTGTCCGTGTGTGTGGGGTGGTCAATGTCTGGTGAGTGCGTCTGGTGAGGTGTGAGCATCAGGTGTCTGGTGAGTGTCTTGTGGTGAGTGGTGAATGTCTGGTGAGTGCGTCTGGCGAGTGGTGAGTATCTGGGCACGGTTCCGAGCACCCCACCCCTCTCGTGTGCCGTGGCGACTTAATAGGTGCTCGCTAACAGCACCTTGCCCGACCGCCTGAATGGCCGCTCGGAGGAGGTGGCGGTAGTTGTGTCTGGTGGCTGCAACGCATCGTGGCTTCCTTTCCACGGTGCTGCGCTGATTTAATGTGTGGTACACTGTAGACCACGCGATTGGGAATGTCGTTCTCAGCCCTGATTAACTACGTTGCACTTTACACAACGTAATTGGACATTCCGTCTCGGCCCACGCGCGCGCGTGTTCTCCTGCCGATGGGGGCTGCCGGAGCCGGCTATCAGGCGGTGCGAGGCGCGATAATTACTGCCCCGGCGTGAGGCGTGGCAGCTGGCGTGATGGACGCGCATGTCTCCCGGGCTGCTCCACACGCGGTCGCACGCGGCCACACGTGTGATCGCGCGAGAGCACGCGAGATCACGCGAGATCACGCACGAGATCGCGCACGAGATCACAAGCGATTGGACGAGATCGCACATGATCACAAGTCATCACAAGGGATCCAACGTGGTTGCAAGCTATCGCGTGCGGCCACAGGCGATTGCACGCAGGCACAAAGCCAGGGTGTGCGAACACACGTGATCACATGATCACAGGCGAGCGCACGCACTCACAGGAGATCACACGTGATCGTGAAAGATCACAAGTGATCGTAAAAGATCACACCGTGATCAAACGCGGCCACGTGCGGCACTGAGCTTCCGGCACCAGGGAGGACAATCAATCAACCGGCGTCGCAGAGCGGTGGTCAGGGCAGTGGTTGCCGGGATATGTACCACTAGGTGAGGCCTTAATCATCTAGACAGAACCCTGTGACTCTCCTAGTTTTCCTACTGGGTTGTCCGCCTCCCGCCCGGCTGAAAGTCGTCGGCCATCAGCGTCAGAGATCGTACGTCTACGACTCGTGGCTTTCATCCGTTCTTCCTGACGCAAAGCCGAACGCGACACCGGCGGCCTTCAAAGTTGTTCCGTCCGTCCGTGCGCGCTGGAACGCCGGCGCGGTCACGGCCTCGCCGCTCACTGGGGCGCGCCTCTCGCTCAGAGCCGCTACGTGGGATACTACGAGGCCATCAAGAGGGAGCACAACCGGCAGCTGCCCCCCGCGAAGAGACTCCTCATCAAGGCCTTCGTCATCCAGGCCATACAAGGTGGGGTGCGCGGCAGAGCCACGAGACGAACGGTGGACTGACAAGGCGCTACGGCCGGACACACGTGGGAGGAGTGTGTGTGTCCGTGACCCGTGCCACTGCCCCCTCGCGCTGCCCCCCCCCCCCACACCACTCACGCACGCAGGGGTCGGTCGGGGCAACGGCAGCGACCTCAGCGTGGAGGTCATCGTGGACAAGAAGGCGGTGCTGCTCGCCGACTGCGGAACGATGCTGCACTGCAAGGTGACGCCCGAGGCGCCGGGGGTTACGGGGGGGGGGGGGGGTACCGGGGTGACTGGGGTGACCGTGGTGATCGGGGGAATCGGGGGGGATCAGGCTGATCGGGTAGATGGAGAGACAGGGGGGATCGGGGGGGGGGGGGCAAGAGGGATCTGGGGGATCAGAGTAAATGGAGGACCGGGAGGACCGGAGTTCGGGTGACTGGAGGGACACATTCGTTTTGAGCCTCACATTTGCCCCCCCCCCCATCCCCTCGCCCAATCGTGTTTCCGTCGCGCTATCGGCACGGGACGGAGGGGGGCTTCTGTCTCGGCGATTCGGGGCAGCCTCCTCTCGTAACCCAGCCACTCCACCGCCTCATGCAGCCCACCCGGCCTCGTCGCTCCACCGTGGAGCCGTGCTCAAAGGGGAGACCGCCCTCCACGGTCTCCAAGGTGGGGCGGCCGCGTGACTGGCGTCTCCGCGGTCTTCGCTTGCGCTGCCCCCGCTGGCACGCGCGAATACGAGACGGCGCCACGTCAGCGTGCCGAGCCGCCCGTGGCCGCCCGCCGAAACCCCTTGTGCATTACTTGTGATCTCGTCCAATTGCTTGTGATCTCGTGCGCGATCTCGTGCGTGATCTCGTGCGATCACACGTGAGATGTCGTGAGATCGCGTGCGACCGCGGACAACCTCCCGTAGGGCCGGCGCTGCTTTGCTTCGTCTGAGAACTGCCCACAGAAGTGGATATCGCAGAGCTGCGTCCGCGAGCAGCACTCGCCCCCCGCCGGTCCGGTTGGAGACTGTCTGTGCCTTTGCGTGCGCTGCGTCTCAGCTGTTCCACGATGCGGCGAGGGACGCGGTGCGGATCGGACTCGCCCCGCCGCTGCTCGTGAGCGGGGACGTCAAAGTTAAATTCCACTCGTCCGCGGTGAGAGTCACGACGACCACCCCCCCCCCTCCCCTTCCCTGCGTCGTCACCACTGCCGTAACCCAGCGCTGCGGAGGCAGCGGCGAGCGGCGGTGGATCACCGCGCAGGCGACGGCGACGTGAGACTCCCCTACCCTGGCGGGCTCGCCAGCAGAAAACTAAAACTATTCACTTGAACTATTTTTAAACTGTTTTATTTTACCAGGTGAGGCCCCACTGAGCTACGTAACTCTTTTTCAGGAGCGACCTGGCCACCGCAAATGATAGCTCAATTCAGTGGCTTATCATCATCATCGCGTGGAAATTTATAGCAGCAGCCAAATACTCTAAACGCACGATGTTGTTACTAAATGTGGAGGGGAAAAACCGAAGGACCCAGAGAGAAATCCACGCGCTCATGGGGAGAACATGGAAACTCCAAATATACAGCAGCAGGCGTCAGGATCGGGATCAAACCCACGACCTCCTGCACACCAGGCGAGGGAGATAACATCTCACCACCGTGGACGCCACGGTGGCTGGGAGACGTTGTGAGAAAGCGGTACAGCACAGCAAAGTGCGGGGCGACATCTGTCCCTTCTGTACGGGATAGAGTGTTGCCCCCTCGCATGCGTGGGGTTCCTCTGGGCAGCTTCGGTCTCCTCCCGCATGGATAAACGCTCGCCAAATTTGCTGAAACATCTTACTATGTAGAGATCTGCAGAGCAGTTGTTGGCGCCGGCTCAACGCCTGGCTTACAGTCTTACAGGGGTGCGGGGAGGAATGTTTGTCTTTCTCTATTTGCGGCACGCAGGGCCTGGCTAAGGGCTATGATGACTGCCCCTTCTTCTTCTGGTTCAACACGACGTTCATCGAGAACTATCGGTACGCTCTTTGTGCACACGCTTTAACAGACTGTTGGGGCAAGTGCTGCTAGCGAGCGCCTATGAAGGCCGGCGCTGCCACACGAGGGGTTGGGTGGGTGGCCGGCACCACGCCTGGCCGCCTTTGTCTCCCCGGTGGCGATGTTTACACACTGCCCCAGGTACTCATTTGAGGCTGAGGCGACCTCGAAGATGCCCAGGACCGGTTCAGATATTCGTCACTGGGTGTTGGCAGTGAGCGGGAATCGAACTCGGGTCGCCGGGTTCGTAGCGCAGCGCGCTAACCGCTACTACATACCACTCCCCACACACACACACACGTGTACATACACACGTGTACACACACAAATGCATATACCCACCGTGTACATGCAAGAATGCACACATGCACACGCGTACTTGCACCTCCGTATGTATGTACATACATACGTCGCCCATTCACTCACCCACTCACCCGCTCACCCATCAACTCACCCACCCACTCACTCAACCCACTCCCACACACGAGTAAACAGCTGATTAGCATCGGCCTTGCACCCTTTCCCCACCCAATGGCATTGCTCAATACAACACCACCACCACCACAGTGTTTAGGATCTGACACAATTGACGAGGTGGGGGTTTGTTTGTCTCAGAAGAGGCGAATGAAGGACTTCACTGGGCAGCAGAGGGTGGAGGAGCGACGCTCACAACAGCGAGCGGAGCGCCGGGTGGATAAAACGCAGCTAGTTGGTACAGTAGGGGGGGGGTACAGCTTGGAGCATCTGCCAGTTGTCTCAGTCAGTCAACGCATGGCACATGGGTCTGTCCCGTTACCTCCTCCTGCACCTAGCCTGGCACAGCAGTCAACCCATGGCATCTGGGTCTGACTCGTGATCTTCATGCCAGCAGCGAGCCTTCCACACTTCATGTGTTAAGCTCAAAGCGCACCGAGCCGAGCACAAGCGTCGAGGTGATATCACCACCGCTTCGTGGCGAATGGTGGCTGTTGTTGTGTGTGTGTGTATTCAGCTATTGTTGTTGTGTTCTTGGTTCTTTCGGTAAAGTCACGTAGAAGGGAAATAATAAAGACAGTTCTGTCTTCACCTGAGGACGGCGGCTTGTGTTGTGGCCGAAACGTCGAGAGAATTTTATTTTATAATGTTTATTATTATTTTATTATTTCCCTTCTAAGTGACTTTACCTGAAAGAACCAAGAAGACGAATCCCTGCAGTCACGAAAGCTTTAAATCGAAATTTGTTATTGTGTTGTTATGTTGTGTGTTCAGGTTATTGTTGTGCTATGTGTATGTTCAGGCTGGTTGTTGTGTTGTGTTGCTGTGTTGTTTGTGTGTTCATGCTGGTTGTTGTTGTTGTGTTGTTGTTGTTGTGTGTGTCCAGGCTGTTGTTACCACGGTTCGAGCTGGACAACCCTCACAAGCAGGCCACGTGGGCCACCTACCGGGAGGCCTTCTCCGTGGAGGTCGTCTTCTCGGCACCGGACGAGCCCGGCGCGGACATGCAGGGGCCCGCACAGATCGACGCTCAGGAAACAGTGTGAACTCCATCTCCGTGCGGGACGTCTCCCCGCCACCCCCCCCCCCCCCACACACCGAGCCACACAGCCCACTTGTTGTACGGACAGCTCGTGTGCGGCGAGACAAGTTACGCAAGTTGATCGGAATATTCGCAGGAGAGGGGGGATCAAATTCTGCACTTGTCGATTCTTGAATTCCAACGAAAACATTTTCAATCACTTTCGGCCGTTCATAATTAGAGAGAGGTTTTTTTTGCGTTGGGTTAGATCGCGTGAATATAAATGTGTCGTTAAACCTGCCACTACCCGACGCGGCCAATTAGGTAAGGTTTAATCTAGATTTGAAGCTTTCGTGATTGCAGGAATCCATACTCTTTGGTTCTTTCGGTAAAATCACGTAGGGCATAAAATAAGATGGATACAAATTGAGCAATCATTGGAAGGATGTTATTAACCAGGTTAAACCCTAACTGCATTGTAGTGGTTGTCGTCTATCATATCTGCCGGGTACTACTCTATTTTTCTGAGTTAACTTCCCCCCCCCGCATCCCCAGCTCTCTCAGGCCTCCCACTCCCAGCCCTGCCCACTCCCCCCCCCCCAGCCTCACGTCCCTCTCCTAGCGTCCACGCAGCCCCCCCCTCTCCCTACCCCCACCCCTCCCTCTCCCCCCTGGCTCCTCCCCCTTTCTTACCTATATAACCTCTTACCACGGCAACTCTCTCTGCCACTTCAGCAAAAACATTTCTTGCTGTGGGTTTCCCACCTGATGATGATTGCTTGTGTTGCAATCGAAACGTCGTAATTTATTTTTATTTTATACCTACGTGACTTTACCGAAAGAACCAAAGAGTATAGGTAAGGTTTGTCACTCTTTGGTTCTTTCAGTAAAGTCACGTAGATAGAAAACGAATAGATCACGACGTTTCGATCGCAACACAAGCGAACGTCTTCAGGTGAGAGAGAGAGAGAGAGCTACTGAAACGAGGTCTTATATAGGCCTGAGATGGGTGCAGCCTCAGGGTAACAGGGCGGGGCTAGAGATGGTCTGCCTGAGGCTGTGGAAGTGGCCATTGTATTGTGAGAGATCAGCATGTCAATGCACGAGCTTAGTATGCCGCAGCATCGGTGACTTGCCTAGTATGCTACTCGTTCGGCATGAAACCGCTTGTGTGTTGGAGAGTAAAACCTACTACGACATTTCAAATTCGAGTACCGTGAAGTTTCGCTGGTAATTACAACAACAACAATAAGAAGAAGTGTCACAGCCATAGAGTTTTGGAGGAATCCCCCTCCTGTTTCAGTCTTAAATAGAGGTGGGGGTACATGTGATGGCTTCAATTGTTAGCCAATCAGGAGGGAAGACCAGAGGGGATTAATATATCTATATATATAAAAGTCAAAAAAATTTCTGTTTGTGTGTGGCTTTGTTTGTGTTCGCGCGCTTGCGAGCAATTTCGCTCTCCAATGGTGATGTTTACGTAAAATAAAAATAGCCAGGCACCACGCCGTAAGCCCCGCCGTGAGCAAGCGCTATTCCTTTTTCACATCCGTCAACTTTAAATTAGTTTAATGATCGATTTAGTGCGATTTGTGCGCCTTTTATTTATTTACGACGCATGCACGACCATACCAACTCACGCGCCTTTGGTGGGGGGGACGGCCCATGCCAAGTCGCACGCCTTCGGTGGGAGTGAGGGGGACATTTTCTTTTGCGTTAAAAAAGCTATAAAACTACACTAAACGCTGACGTTAATTATTCACTGTGTGATGTCCCCCCCACCCCGATGCGTGTAGTTACTACTACTATACTTTCGATAGATGCTACCACTATAGGTCCTAGATATTACTGCAGAGCGGCCGGGGAGATCGTGGCTGGGGGGGGGGGTCAGGGGTAGCAGCCCAGCCCCAGCCTGCCAAGGTGCCACCTCGGCTGGCTGGACAATCTAGGTGAGGCCGGAGGCTCTACACCAGACTAGGCCTCACCAAGCCACTCTGTCAGGTGAGTACTTTGTGCTATAGAGTCCATAAATACTGCTATAGAGTCAGCATGTACTACTATAGTGATAGCAGGTACCACCACGGTCGGTATGCACTGCTGTAATCATAGCAGGTACCATTACAGTCAGTACACACTGCTGTTACATTTTAAAGAGTAGTTTTGAAATGTTTTTTTGGCCCAGTCAACGTCGGGTATATAAGCTAGTGTAGTCATAAATTACAATGGATATCTATTAATGGTTGGGGCATTCACAGTTAATCAACATACATAATATATTTACACTACGTATACATTTGCGTGCATATTGTGTACGTGTATTACATACGTACATTATGTGTGTACATTTTTGGTGCAAAAATCGCCATACCTGTTATTGGCCGCTTACAGTTAATCACCATTGACGTATGGTAACCCGTGTCGACATGCAATTAAACAGCGTAGTATTACTTGATAATGCGCTTTCAAGCATCACTCAGCCTGTAGCTATCAGAACGGTCGGCATAGTTTTTTTTTATTTCTCTCAATTTCAATAGATTCTCCAATTAGCCTTGTGCATAGTCGTAAACTGGTTTTGCACAAACCTCATTGTCGTCAAAATCAATTTACGTGACCTCGTGTTGGGCACACTAAAATTAAATAACCTCGCAAAATATCGAAATGTGATGTAATACAACACAGACCGACTCTCTGTGTTGTATTACATCACATTTCGATATTTCGCGAGGTTATTTAATTTTAGTGTGCCTTTCTCCTAATTTTCAAGCTTGTGTGCCGCGCCACGTCGTCATCTTACTTGCGCAGCAGCAACACGTTGCCGTACACTCATTGATATGCTAATTTTCTCTGCCCCCTCCCTCTCTCCGTCCCCGCCCCCCCTCTCTATATTTAAGGGACCGTCACAGAAACGACCCCTCTCTCTGTGCCGATATGTGTCCTCTCTCTGTGTGTCCTTGTGATGTCTGTCTGCTTATGTCTGTCTATAGTTTTCTATTTCGATTTTTATTGCTATTTATTTTATGCCTGATGATGATTGCTTGTGTTGCAATCGAAACGTCGCTATTATTTTAATTTATTATTTTATTTTTAGACGTGACTTAACCGAAAGAACCAAAGAATAATACAATGTTTAAGCTAAACCAGCGAAGACCGAAGACCGTCTAGCTAGAGCCCTGGACTCCCCTGGGACGCCGCCCTTGTCAGGGCCGCGCAGGAACGAGCCAGCGGCGTGGTCCCGAGAACCAGAGCTAGTGCTCTGGGACTCCGGGTACCGTAGCCCGACTTACCAGTGTCGGGCCAGTCAGCCTCCCCTAGCCCGTTAGTGGAGGACTAGGAGGTAGGTCAGAGATAGCTAGCAGTGTATTCCCAGCTAGCCGGGTGAGGGGGCCGATACCCCCTCCAGTATTGTATGTCCGCGGTTGTGACAACTGTTGCGGAATAAATACGTGTGCCTCAACCCCGGGTGTCCAAGAGTCCTCAACGCTATTACACATGTGTGCATGTGTGCAAGTGCTGCGTGTGTGCGTTGTTGTATATGTTGGTTATCAAAATTTGTTATGCTGTATGCGTGCGTGGGTGAAATTATTATGTTGTATATGTGGGTTATGAATATTCAGTGAAAATAATAATAATTAAATGAAATTTGGCCAAATGTGTAATTATCCGGAAATATGTTAATTTATGTAATTATGCACATTTTAATTATGCCAATTCGAGAGGTAATCGTATTAATTATGCGAGTGGGTGTAATTATGATAATGCAAGTCGTTATGATAACCAGACCCCGCCTCGGTGACGAGGGTGGGTTATCGATCGGAATAAGGCACTTAATCGTATGCAGTTATGCAGGTGTGGTGTAAGTATGCAAGATTAACTTAGATTAACTCGGCATCGTTGTCTAGGTTCGTCTCATTCTCGCTTTAACATTCCCAGAGTGTGTATTCGTGGTTATATTTTAGGTCCCCGGTTCACCCCGTTATCGCTTTAACATTTACTGAGTATGTGTTAGTGTGTTTATTAAGGTCACCAAGTTCAGATCTCAACGCAGAAGCAGATCTTATGCATAGATTTCAGGAAAGAATCACACAACCACTTCTGTATTGATCAATTTATTACTAATTCAACCTTAACTATGATATAGTATGCGAACTCTCAATCCCGGAACGTCAACACGGCATCAATACAGTATCATCAACGATTGTCTGATTTCACTTTGACAACGGCACATGGATCCCGCATAACGCGATGGTTGTTAGTGAGAGAGAGAGTCGTTAAAATATGCAAATACTATGCTAAGAAAACCTTAACGTTAATGAATGATTATACTCAATTTTGTTCACGCAGTACCGCACTCCTTATTGATCATACGCAACCCTTATCACGTTGTTAGCACCTTGGGTCACGGGACAGTTGAATATTCTGTAGAGGATGCGAGTACGTGCGGCGATTATGACTGAAAGATACTTGAAAGATTATACGGCGATAAAAAAAAACACAATCAAAAACAGTTATTATTCTTAAAGGCACCAATCTCAACAGATACATCGGCAGGTTATCTGACAACAGAACGGCTCGGAGTAAGGGCCTGCGACGGTGCTCCTTTTCCGAAGATCGTTATCTTATACCAAGTTTACTAATTGGGGACCAGATCACCTGATAAGGATCCGGTGGGCCACCACTCCCCACGTGAGCGTGGCTCGGCGGAAGGAGGTGCCAAGAATCAGTTCGTATTGATGGATCTGTTGGGAATTTATGCGATTAAGAGTACAGCCCACTAAATATTAAAGATAAAAATTACGAATACTCTTATAAACGACGGATGGCCATCACTCGGTCTCGTTGTGATGCCTTCCCAGCCACGGATGGCTTATGGGTTCGAGTGTGTTTGAGTGGTAAGAGTTGTCTTGAATAGTCAGTGTTCGGAGTCGATTCTTTATGTCAAACAGACGCCTGGTGGTCGTGTGGTGAGGGGGCGGTGCGCGTCATACGTATCAGTCGCTCCCCTGTCACCGTGGGGAACTGGTTCGGATGCCCGTTGATACGCTGTCGCAGTTCGGAACCCGGTCGGTAGGTGGCGCCCACAACTCGCTCGCAGCGTGCAGTGGTGGGGTCGTCGTGTGCACGGAGCCTCGTCGCCAAACCGCGACCCTCACCACTCCGGCGGCAGCAGAGACCTCCGACTCGGCAGAGGTTGACCCACGCAGGCCGAGTTGAGCTGTCAAGCGGGTCTTGCCCGCCTGCAGAGGAGATGAGGAGCCGCTTGAGTCGAGCCCCGAGAGCCGGCTTTGGTAAGCCGATCGAACTCGGCTGAGTCCCAGACGAGCTGAAGATGAGTCGAGCCGACCCGCTGGTCGCACTCGCTCCTGAGCCGACCCTCCCGGTCGAGCTCGCTCCTGAGCCGACCCGCTGGTCGCACCCCCCACGTGAGCCGACCCGCTGGTCGCACTCCCCACGTGAGCCGACCCGCTGGTCGCACTCATTTCCAATGCTCAGGATCCTTTCCTTTATGCCGAAAAATCCCCCTGGATCCCGCCCACAAGGGGGGGCTTCTTTCGATTTTTGCTGTGTCAGGATCTGTCCGTAGGCAGGTGTGTCCATGTGTGTGTCCGTACGTCCGTATGTCCTTGTGTGCATCACTCACGGTATATTCCGTTGTCACCCTCCCTCCATAAAACCCACGAGCAAACAATCAGATGTTACAAATTGCCTCGAAGTCGTCTCTCTGTCTGGGTGCAATATTATCTCTTGTCTGGCCTTCTTCATGAACCCAAAACACAGACGTTACAAATCGTCTCATAGGCGTCTTTGTTCGTGTTGCACAACCTGGAGGGAGGGGCAACACTCTCTCCGACCCGGCGCACAAAGAAATGGTTAAAAAGTTTTAAGTTAACATTTGTCCCTTACTATTTCACAGTTATGATTCTGTATGTAACCTAAGGTCTGTCGTTTCCCATCGTGGTGCTTGACTCAAGTGGAGGTGTTTCCCCGAGCGTATACACACTCCTATCCCGCGCTGCGGGGATACAAAGACGGCCGGGATCTCCCTTTCTCTCCGACCCTGGGTTTAACATCGTTTTTTTTTATTATGTATTTATATTTGACCTGGTGGTGATTCATCCCGTTATCCTGGCTTTTCCATAAGTTTTACTTTTGTCTTTTCATGCATGTGCTTATTACTATTAATTTATTTCCGATATCTTAGGTTAAGGGGTAAGTTTCTTGATCCTAGGAATTCGTATTCCTTGGTGTCTGCATGGTTATATAAGCGGAATATAGTTTACGGTGAATAGCGTTAACATTGATGTTATGTACGATATTATGTATTGTGATGTCTTTAACTTAACTTGTTTGTCAGGGCTTTACTGACACGAAGTTGCATTCCATAGCCCCGCAGTCTTTGCCCCACCCTATCTCTGCTCGCCGTGGTTGTTGCTGTCCAGCTGACGTCGTTAACTCAAGGCCTCATTAATTTCCGTCACTCCTTGTGTGTGAGGGCGGTTGAACCTTGGAGTCAGTTCTGGTTTTTGTCTGCCTGCTTCTTCTTGTGTCCCCTGACCTCGGGAGTTATTATTTCTACTTTTTATGGCCTGTCGAAGCCCGACTCGCTGTTGCTGGGCTGGTCGTTCCCGGCTTTTTGCTTACGTTTGCAGTTCGCCGTGCTCTTAATTTCCTTCCCTCTTCAACCTTATATCGACTATTCGCTCCTGTCTGGGTGCGATTCAATTTTAACTTAGGAAGGTTCTGATTGTCATATGCTTCGGGTCGAGTTGTATAGAAAGTATTAAAGTATGGAAATAACATTTCATATTGACTTAATGATGGTGATGGTTCAGTAGGCGTAACTTGTGGCCTGGTTTAATTGGAGTGGGTGTGAATATCAATAACTTTAGCCTACCCTGTTGTTAAATTCCGACTTTAACGTTACTTTAATAGCAATACAGAATAATTGAACTTTTTGTCTTAACTAGGCGAACGCGAACTTCTGGTGACCCCCGCAGCCTTGTTGTTCAGCTGGGTCTGCCTCCTTGAGAGATATACACCACTCTTATTCTCGTCCCACTGTGGCCATCCAACCTTCTGCTCTGGGAGTGTTATTCTTAATTTCAGGTCAAAGGCCCCCTCACGTTCAGACGTGCAGGGTTGTTTAAATCAGCTCCCTCCCCTGTGCACGTGTTCCAACTAGCTCGGAATCCCTAAACACACAATCAGTGATGATTCCTGGCTTTCTGTGGTTGTGATTTAGACAAAGGCGCCTCTGTTTTCTTCCATTGCCTTTGAGTCGACACTGCCCTATTATTTGCCCATGTGCTGAGGTCATAGAATTCGTTTTGACTTCAGTAATATTAACATTCAGTATTGGATTAGCAAATGGCAATGGTTCATTGATGTAGCTCGCAGCCTGGTCTCCAATTTGAGCGAGCGCGAGGATCGATACTTTAGCCTACTCTGTTGTTGAATTTCGAATTTTGACGTTACTTTAAAACCATGCAGGATGGTTGGGCTTTTTGCCTTAACTATGTCTGGCTGACACTCCCACTGTCTCTGCCGCCTGCACGGGTGACATGTGCCCGTTCATCAGGCCTTATCTTTCCTTGAAGCAAGGTTGCAAATTCTGCCATCCTAGCCCTCCTCCAGTTCATTACTTAACAACACCTGGTGTTTTGCAGTTTGCTGCGCTTTGGTGTGTTTAAAAAAAACAAGTAAAAAGATAATATATAAAAATCATCAAATATTATTAATCTCAATTTTGGAAGAAGGGTTAGTATACAACATTCCGCCCTTTTAAAAATGACCAGTGGTCAAATGGCCACGGGTTATTTTTAAAAAAATATGTATACCCTTCTTCCATCATGAACCATCGATTGTCCTCAAGTTTTGCTGCTATTCCTTACAACGCGCGCGTACGTGTCACAACTTAACATGGTTATATGTGACAAGAGAGAGGAAAAAAAAAGGAAAAAAAAATTCTAAAGGAAGGTAAAACGATAAGGGAGGGAAAAATTATTCTATTGACTACGTGTTATAGGAGATATCGTTAAAAAGATAGTTTCTACGGTTATTCTTGGGTGGCATCATCAGGCCTTGGCTCCCTTCTAGCTTGGCAAGGTACGTTAGCAGGAGCGTGAGCAGGAGGGCTGCCATTCTCTGGAAAACATGTTACATATTATTGTAGTGTGATAAGCCCATTAGTTTAGTTCCCCCCCCCCCTTTTTCCCACCTTTATTTCTCATCTTGCTCCACCAGCACAGGGTACGGTTTGATTTGGTTGATGTGCACCCACTTGTATTGCTGCTCTCTTCCTGTCTTTGTGATTTTTAGCTGATATACGACTGGGGACATTTTGTCAACAACCTTGTGTGGTCCTGTCCAGGAAGGCAGGAATTTCCTGCACTTCTGTTTTCTTTTCTCGTAATTGAGGTACCACACCTGGTCTCCTAGCTGGTATTC